TAGGGAGTAGATGGCTGCTGCTGTACCAGTGATGTTCCAGTGCCTGGACCCTCTTGCTTGGCTGAGTTCCACTGGTTGTGATGGGTGCGGCTAGATCTCGGCACTTAGTTCTATTCTCTCCTTGCCCTCTCCAGGTCCTGTACAGCACTGCAGCAGCCCAGTGCCAGCTGCAGCAGTGGCAGGAGGCCAGAGTCACCCTGGACAAGGCTGTTGTGTGGAGACCTGAAGGAAGAACAGCAATCCTGGACCTGGCCTTTCAGCAGGTGCAGGTAAGAGCCCCTCTGTGAGTTCCTGGGTATGTGCATTGGGTTGAAGTTAAGGCGCAGGAGGTAAGAATGTGCTAATTGTAAGTTTGGGTTTTCTTGTCTGGTTGGTCACCTGTAACAGAGTCAAAGCTTGACTAAAATAGTGCTTCAGCTGATCAAGTACTCTATCAGCCCAGGTGCTTCATAGCACAGCAACACCATAGTGAAGAATTATGGTATAGCCTCTCAGGTTGGGGGTTTTGCTTTCTAGTCTCTAGTCAGTTCTTTTGTGACCAGGAACAACTTGCAGGTCTCTGATATACGCTTCCTGGAGAGTTCATTATTTTACTTTCTCTATACTTCCTTATGTTACTTGTATCCTTTCTAAGAGCTGATTATGTCTTCTAGCATCATGTTTGTGCTTTACGTTAGTGTGTCAGTTATATTTGCTGTTAGCTTGCTACTCAGTCTTTGAACAGGTGAGAAAATAACAACATCTGAAATCAAATAGAAAAACTTCTTAGAAGATTTGTTTAAGAAACCTGACTCCACTGCACTCCCTTCCCACCCATTCCATGCCAACAGAGTCCATTTTTGACTCATCACTGGGTAATGGCTGCTGAGTTTACACATGCTCATTAAACCTGAGTGACCTTTCTCAAGTTCACAGATGTAATTTTTGCCCCAATGTCTTCCTGGAGCTGATCTTACCCACATAAGGAAGCTCTACTTGCTTTTCACTACTGTTATGTTTCATTTAACATTCACTGGTGGCTTTTCCGTTCTCTGCTTTCCCTGCCCTAGAACCATCTATTTTTAGAGCCCATGCAGGTTCCTCTGGGGGAATTTTTCAGACCACGAAAGAAGGAAGTTGAACAGCTGGATTCAAAAGACTTCCTGGGTAAACCCAAGGTAACAGGCATGTGATCACTAAGATTAACAACAAGCAGCTTAAGATCTCACCTTCTGACCTGTCCAAAGAGCATTACTGTTGGTTGCTCCACTGCTCACTGTGCTGATGGAGACCCCAGAGCAGGACTGTCAGGGTCAAGGCATCTGCGACACAGAGGCTGGAATCTGTTAAATTGCCACCTCTTCTGTCAAAACTGCCCTTTGTGCTAAAACACCTTCCCAGTCTTGGTCACCTGAAGCTCTGAAAAAGCTGAGCAGGTCCTTAGGGAACCCTGTGACCATCCTTGTGCTGACAAGGAGATTTTCAAGAGGAACGTGTTCTTCCAGCGTGCTCCTATGCACTGCTGCATTCCCAGTGGGACAGGCAGGCACCTGGGAGACAAATGCTTTGTCACATCCCTTAATGCAAGTCAGCAAAGGATTTCTATGATCCCTTCTGGGACCAGTGCAGGCAGCAGAAGTGCCGAAGGCCAGAGAGCTCCAATGGGAATAAAGGAAAGGGAAGGGAAATTAATTCACATACTTTTAAAGAAGCTTTGGAAAGGCTGAAATACCAGGGACAAGAATGGTTAAAGCTGTTCTGGGAATCCAGGTCTGCTTTTTCCACTATGTGTGTGGCTCTACTTTATGCCTGACCATAGGATGTCAGAAGGAAATCAGTCTGAGTAGATAACCTGGCACGAAGTTTGAGAGTCTCCTCATCCAGCCTGGATTCAGTCATTGCTTTGTCCTCCAACAGGTGATCTCATCCATCATTCCCAATGATGAGTACATTGGCTTCGAGCCTCTCAGGCCTCAGGTGAGCAGGACAAAGCTGTGAAAGGAGGAATGAAGCTCCAGGTAGGGCCTCAGATCTTAACACCATCAGGGTAAGAACACGCTGGTGAAGGCAAGAAACAGTGCAGTATCTGACTGGCTCCATGGAGCCGTTCAAAGCCAGGTGGGCTTCAGCACTGGCTGGAAGGGACTCAGTGATGTGAGTCTCCAACCCTTTGAAGATGCATTTTTGTCTCTTTGGCATGTCAAAACAGCAGTGGAGACTTTGCTGTGCTCAACACGTGCTTGCCCAGCACATCATTGGATTTGTCAGCAAAAGCATGGCTGCCTTGCACTGTAATATGAGTTCCTTAGAACCAAGGGAAGGAAAGATATTTTGTTATTCATCTCCTTATGGGACAAAGAGGAAGGGGGGAGAAATAAAAGGTACATCCTGGTAAGGTGTAGAGCAGCAGACTTCTGTCTGAGTGCTGTGGTGTGACAAATGTGGTTAAAAGCAAAGACAAAACACCGCAGTGTGGTATTCAGAGGGACAGAAAAGAAGGTGGTACTGTTCCTGTGTAAGGGATTGTATAAATATATGCTGTTGTTTCTCCCACAGAAACAGGGCATTTACGAACCTGGTGCTGATGCTCTGCTGTAAGTGTTTGGTTCCATCTTGGTCTAACTCTTCTCTCACTATTTCTGTTCAGAAGGTCACATTTTGTTCTCTGATATCTTTGTCTGAAGAGCCTGTGGGATCTACACCCACTTCTCACCGAGGGTGTAGAGAATGACAAACATGCAAAGGCTTTTGTGGCTGCCAAAGACACTGCAGTGCAGTTGGCATTTCTCATGCAAGAATCTCAGGGTAGTTTGCAGGAGGTGACTCAATAGTCTTGTGAGACAAGCCTGGATCATGCCATGGCCAGGGAATGGAAGCAGAGAGAGGTTGTAGGACCTGCCCAGGTCTGTGGGAGAGGATGCTCAGCTGCCCTATCCTAGTGCTCAGAACAAGGCTTCCAGATATCCCCTCCCAGCCGTGCTGAGCCAAAATCAGCCTTGGTTGCAAAAGCATGAAACCATTTGTCCTGGTGATGTTGTACCAGCAGCACTTCATGTTGAGTTTAATAATTGCTTTGATCTGGAGAGCATTTATCAGTGCAATGAAAATGGAGCAGCTGCATTTGGGAAATGGTGTTTTCCAGGCTGCTTTTGTTCCCAGTTGGACCAAAGAGTAGCAATGGAAATCATCATTTCCCAACACGTGAAACATTTGGCATGGGACAGTTTGGATCAGTGCAGTGTTCTGGACCAAAGCATCCAGCACCAGACCTCCAGGGTTAGTAAAGGTGCTCTCATTCTCTCTTTCCAGAGAAAGTGAGTCAGGCTACTACCGGGTGTTGTCCCATTACTACCCCAAGGACTCAGAGAAGCTGGCAGTGAGAGCCAGCAGCTTGGTCTTTGTGCTGACAAGAGGAGGGGATGGCTGGGCTACAGCCATACATGATGGACAGGTAAGGACAGTGGGTGGGCTTTCCAGCCCATTCCCACCAGCAGAGACCACAGAGGCCTGGACAGGAGCTTGCTGCAACCCTCTGAGCACATTCCCTGGGCACCCTGTAGCTCTGCAGAGAATGAGTTCAGGAGCTCATTTCCACAGACCAGCTGCTAACTGTAGATTTCTCTGACACTGCGCTCCCACTGTCTTCTGCCATTCACCTCTATAACTCCACACGGGCATTTTTTGGGGCAGTTGTGCTTTCCACAATAGAAAATCCTACTGTGGAATTCTGTAGGATAACAGACCTCACCAGGGACCACCATTTAGAGCAGTATTTGTCACCTGAGAGCTCTTCCAGGCCTGAGGAAAGCAGCCGGTCCTTACATGGTGTGTGGTGCCTTTGTTATATTAACTTTGGGAAGGCTCTGGAAGGATTTCAGCTCTGCAGACAGGTTTTATAAAGGGCTCTAGAGAAGACCTAAGGAATTAAAGTTGAGCAAATCTGACATCTTTCTGCAGACCAGGGAACTATAGTGCAAACAGATTGAACAGGAACAGACAAATATGACATCACAGAAAACCTTTTGCTGACAGAAGCCATTTCTCACATGTCTGCTGAAATGCTTCGGAATAACCAGTGGGTTAGCTTGAACCAGTATTATCTGCCTATATTTCCAAAAAATGTCAGAAGATTCTTCACAAGACTGTTCACTAAAACCCCAGTGAACTGCTTGAGCGAGAGGCAGTGCCTGAGTGCTGATGACAGGTTAAAATATGAAAGTAAAGAATAGGCATCAATGAACAGGATTCTATTTCTGTCTTTTTAGAGAAAGGGTGTCCCCACAGAGAATCTCCTGTGACCTAAGCATTTAGCATATTCCTAAGGGATGTAGTAATAGAGACGGGGATGTAGTGCTCCTTAAGGTGACCATGTTCCACTGCAGTCAAATGATTGGCATAGCCTAAAGCAGCTGGAGCTGACAGTGAACAGTTACAGACCTGTTTGAATGTGGTGGTTGAAGCTTAGTGAAGTATGAAATTAAATTTGAAGTAAAAAAATAAAGTTAAAATAATAGACACTGGGGAAACAAAAAGCATAATTACAATGATCAGTTGAAATTGGAAGCTCTAGAGCACTGAGTGGCAGAAGACACAGAGATGCTGCTGCACTGGTATCCCTCAGTATCCTTGCTGCTCTCTGCCCAAGCATCCATTTCAGGGGCAGGGTGTTTGGGCTGTTACATCCCAGCCACTCCAACAGCAGCACTGCTTTCAGCAGCAAAACATGCAAAAGAACCATGGGATTTTGTCAGCAATACCTGAGCACGAACCCTATGGATTACTGCATGAGACCCTGGCCCCCCCATGGGCACATTTGAGTTGCTGCAGGCAGGGGTGGTTTGCAAAGGCAGAAGCAGTGCAGAGTGGGACTTACAGAAAGTGGGGCTGGGTGGGCTGGGGCTGAGCCTGCCACAGCAGCAGCTCCTGTCTCACCCTGCTCTGCTTTGTGTCCTGCAGAAGCTGCGCATTCCCAGCTCTCTTCTGGAGCCTGCCTCAAAGATGGATAAATGGGTGAGCTGACAGCCTTGCAAGCAGGGGTAAGGAAGGGACCAAGAGGTGCATCTGGGACACTTCTGTGTAAGATTATCACAGGACAGGACAACTGTGTAAGAGACACACAGTATGAAATACTGAGACACCTTGACTGAAGACCATGTGCTCTTGAACAGGAGCAATAGAAGAGTTAAAAGCCACAGTGGCTTGTACCACCAGCTGGTCTAGGTGTTAGCTCGTATCCACCATGGGCTGATGGGGAGCACAAAGATGAGCAGCAGCCATGGCTCTCCTGACCACTGTAATTTGTTGTGCCACTGGATGAGTCTGAGGGCTTAAGGCTTCTGTTTATCCAGCCTGCTCCCATGGTGTGTGCAGCCAGTCGTTGTAGCATGGAATCAGGTGAGGAGAGCTCACACGTTCTGGTTCAGCAGCACAGAACAGGTTAATCTCTTTCAGTGGGACAGTAACATCTTAGAGATACTCCTTTTTGCCTTAGGGCCATGCACTAAGCCCTAACCTTCACCTTTGACTTAGGAAAATTTTCTTCATTTCCCATCTCCACCACAGACACGTCCACACATGATCCAAATAATTTTCCATCTGAAACCAGTGCAGAAAGGTGCAACTCAGACCCCTGTTTCTTGTGAGGAATTTTTGGAAGCTCACAGTTGTTGTGATGTTGCTGTCATTCACAGTTTCACTCCCAGGTGAATCTTTGGTCATAGCCCATGCTTGAGCATTTGCTCCATGGCTGTCTCACTGTGAACCAGCCCAGGTTCCCAGGTGAGCTGGCAGATGGTGGGGAGAACTCTCAGCAGTGTGAGCAGCCTCCCTCTGCTCCAGCACCAGCCCAGCAAGGAGCAAGAGGCAAAGGAAGTGTCTCACCAAGCCTCTCCTCACCCCTGCTACCCGCAGGAGCTGCAGAGACCATTCTGAGTGCTCCACCTCATCCAGCCAGTTAATAAACTGGTCTCCCTGGAGCTCCCTCTGGGCCTACACCCATACATTTATAACTGGCTGCAGCCTCTGTCATGCACAACAGCCTCGTCCAGTCTCCAGTGCCTTCTGCTCACTCCTTTCTGATGTTCTGTTGCAGAAGATCAGCGATGGGATTCCTCTCCCTCCTGCCCAGGTGCCTCCCAGCCGACTCCACGTGAAGCAGAAGCCAGGTAGTCCCCAGGCCAGGGACCTCAGTGGGTGTTACTTGGAGCTGTGCCCACCCCTGCTTTGGGGTGCATGGGGAGGCTGGTTGCCCACTGAAGCCCTGGATGCCTGTGTGCTGGGAGTTGCAGAAGAGATGGGGAGTCTGCTGACTGGGGATGCTGTTCCTCTGCTCTTGTTTTGTTCTTTAGAATCTCCTGGGGGAGAAAATGCCCCTGTAAATGGTGCTGGTGCGCAAATGGACTCCAAGGTAAGGTGTTCCACAAGCTGGCACAGCCTCAAGAGGTCAAGGATGTGAAAAATGCCAGATTCCTGACCAAATCCTCCAAAATTCCTGAGCTGGCCCAAAATCACCTGAAAAAAAAACCACTCTTCCTCTGCCCATTTTCCCATTCCAAAAAGAGGCTCCCATGGGTTCATTCCTCCACCTTTTCCAAGTTTGTGATCGTACAACTTCATGAAGACAGCCCAAGGTTGAGGCTTAGTAGGGCAGTGCCATTGTGGCAGGCACCCCCTGAGGAGCCAAGAGCCCCAGACACAGCAACATCCTCAGGCACACACTTCACAGCCTATTTTGGAAGAGAGTTGTCTTTGAACTACCTGCTGGCCCTCCCTCCATCCTGTGCAGCCTGTGCTTCCTGACAGTCTGGGTATCACAATTCATTCTTATTTGTGTTCTGGGATGTTGTTCTCTAATGCACCTCCATGTCATTACCAACCACTGTGTATGATGGTGCTGGAATTGCTCCTGTGTCCACTTGGGGCCAGCACCTCTGGCAGTGCCAGCTGCAGATGAGCTCTGCTCACTTTGTCTCTGCCACCCTCTTTGCAGGGCTTTTGGAGCCGTTTTTTGTTCGGCTTCAGGCAGGAGGCAGCACAACATGGGAACTGGCTGCACCTCTCCAGCTGGCCGGAGGAATTGGAGCCCTGCTCAGCTGGGCTTGAGGTTGGGAGGTACCTGTGTGATCAGACCCAGAAACAGGCTTCCTGGGTCATGGGAGGAACAGTTGATCCCAAGCTTTGGATCCATATTTGCCCCTCTGATGCTACACTACCATTACATGGTAGTACTGAGATGAGGGGTTGTGTCGATGCCACCTCTGTTGATAGGAGAGGTGACATAGTCTGAATAACCACCCTGTGCACGGTGCCACCTCTCTCAGCAGATCCCAGTGACCTGTGGGGACGCTTCCCGTGGCAATGCCAGGCCCGTGGTGCTGCGGGTGTGCTGTGAGTGCACAGTGATGCTGAGGGCTGGCACAGCTCCGGCGCTGCAGGACCTGCGAGCACTGCTGCGGGAGTGCCTGGGGCAGCAGGCACAGCGAGGGAGGCTCAGGTGGGTGACCGGGTGCAGCAGCCACCCCCCTGAGGGTATAAGGGCTGTATGAAGATAGGCTGAGAACATTGGGGCTGTTCAGTCTGGAGAAAGGAAACTGTGTGGAGACCTCAGAGCAGCTTCCAGTGTCTCAGAGGGGGCTACAAGGATGCTGGAGAGGGGCTCTTTGTCAGGAACTGTAGTAACAGGACAAGGAGGAATGGGTTTAAACTGGAACGGGAGATTTGAATATAAGGCAGAAGCTCTTCCCTGTGAGGGTGCTGAGGCGCTGGCACAGGGTGCCCAGAGAAGCTGTGGCTGCCCCATCCCTGGCAGTGCTCAAGGCCAGGTTGGACACAGGGGCTTGGAGCAAGCTGCTCCAGTGGAAGGGGTCCCTCTCTGTGGCAGGGGTTGGAGCTGGAGGAGCTTTAAGGTCCTTTCCAACCCAAACCATTCTGTAACTCTAAGACACAGGCATTCAACTCTGTCTAGTCTCCTGGGAACATTTAATTGGGGTCTGTTGTGGTCAAAACATTCCAGCAGAGATTGAGCGAAGGCTGAGCACACAGCCTTCCTTCCAGGGCCAACCTTACCATGGCTTGTGGTTAGGAGAAAATCATATGCTCATGGGCTTTGGAAGCCTGAAGGATCTTTCCCAGGGCACTCTGCCATGGTCAGGAAACGGGGGAACAGGAACTCTGGGCAGATGCAGGTGCTGTACATTGGATTTTCTCCTGCTCAGCTCAGCCTTTGAGATACACTAGGATCAATGCAGAGCAATTTGGGAGTCAGGTATAAGTGTGCATTGGTCCTGGGGTGACACCTCCCTGATGTGATACCCCTGGGGACACACAGTGTAGTCAGGAGAGTTTAGGATCTTCTCCTCAAGTAAATGTGTGAGGAGCTGCGGGTGTCCCTCTTTCTGCCCACTGAAATGTAGGTGGGCCCCACATCCGTGTGCAAAGCTTAAAGCTTAAAGCTTACAAGGGGGACTTTGAAGGCTGAAGATGGTAGAGGACTAGGCTGGCCTCAGAGCTAGGCTTTAAGTGAGATGATTTGAGCCATGTTAATGAACTCTTGCAGCTACAGGAATTCAGATGGCAAGGAACTGGGAGCAGTTTCGGGAGAGGAGGATCTAGGGAGGATGTGGCAGCAGCTGACGGATGGCAGGCTGGTACTGTGTTGCAAGGTATGTGCCTGTGACCACCTCCTCTGCTGTGGTGGGCTCACATCTCTGCTTTGCCTTGCAACTTTCATGCTGACTCTCCTGTAGGACTCGGAGTCCCACTCAGGCAGACCCATCCTCTACCGGATGCTGGCTCAGCACTCCTACCCTGCACAGGGACCAGGGGACCTGGACTTCAGCAAGGGAGATGTGCTGGATGTTCTCTCTGAAGGTACTTCTCCAGTCCTGTCTGCAGGCTTGTGCTGGAGGAGGCTTTGAGTCTGCTGCAGATGCCTGGGGAATAGATGCCTCTCCAGTGCTGCCTCAGGGCTCATGCTGCTCCTTTATGTTTTCCCAGTGAATGAGGACTGGCTGGAAGGACACTGCAATGGCAAGACTGGCATCTTCCCCAGATGCTTTGCAACCCAGACCAGTTGTGATGCTGCCTTCCTATAGCACACAGGAGCCTTTTACTGCCCAACTGCACTGTCTCCCAGGGGTGGGAGGCACCAGTCCCAGCTTACTCAGGCCACAGCCAGCACAGCCAGGAGCTCTGCTGAACCTGGACAGGAGATGTCCCTCACTCATAGATCCCATGGGGTGAGCTCCAGCAGTCCAACAGCATCTTCTACAGCCTGTTCCCAGACCTGGCATTTTTACCTCTGTGCTTACACTGCCAAAGATGTTCCTGTGCAGGGCAGAGAGAAGGGAGAGGGATCTGATGTTTGGTTATGGAAAATGTCCAAGTGCCGCTGGCTCAGACCTTCCAGGTAGGAAGAGGTTCCTGTGGATGGAGGTCTTTACGCCCTCTCCATGTTGCTCAAGTTCAGGCTGGAGGGCTGAGCCTCACCCTAGTGAAGCCAAACACTGTGAGCAGGAAGCAGAGCCCTGGTCCCCAGGCCCTTGGCTCATATGTCCTTATCTCCACCACACAAGAGATTCTGCTCTTTCAAATAGCTTTTCTAACCTGTTTCCAGTGGGGTGAATGGGATAACAGCTTGGGTTAGGACCACCACATATCATCTTCCACAGCAAATACCCTGCAGATCTGCCAGAGCCAAAGGGCTCTGACCATTCCTCAGTCCAGATGCTTTTGATTCTTTCCTCAAGCCCTTAAGTCCTGCCTGGATGTTCCTTCATGCTGCATGGGCAGAAGGGGTCTTGCAGTGCAGAGGAGAGGTAGCTGGGGAGCACACCTGCTCAGAGCAGCCTTTTGGAGGGGCTGGGCAGGGGCCTGCTGAGCTGGAGCTGGGAGGAATGGCGTGACCATCTGATTCCTGCCCTGAGCTGTGCTGGGCTTTGCTGAGCTGGATGAACCACTTGATCACCTGGAGCTGGAACCCAGTAGGGATTTGGTGTCTGACAGAGCTGAGCTGTGTAACTGGAATATCAAATAAACCTTGAGCCACAGTTGGCAGCTCTTCAGTCAACCTCCACTTGCATTTTTCTGCTGAGATATGGCAGTAAATAGTTTTAAAGTCACCTGACAGTGTCTTTGGGTAGATACTGTCACATACTACAGCAGTCTTTCATGGGGCAAGATACAGGTAAGGTCTCTCCTCAGAGCTTAGGTGGCTCCTGCTGCTCTCCATCACCAGCTGCCTCCCGTGGCTGTTGGGATTGCAGCCCAGGAGGAAACGGTGCAAGGCTGGTCGGAGACTTTCCTATTTGAAAAACAAAATGGGTTTTATTTCTAGTTTGGATTGATCTGGCTTCATCCAGCTGCCAAGTCTCAGTCAGCTTTTATCAGCCAGGTTGAAGGAGTCTTCCTCTTGGAGGTACTCGGAGAGCTCAAAACACCTTTGTCATCTTCATAGAGATGGCCCAATTAGACCTCCTGAGCAATGGAGATGGGTCTAATGCCCTCATTCTTCTCCCCTTTCCACCTTCTTTTGCAGCACATCCCTCCCCGGTTGGTAGGCAGGATGCCTCTGGTCAGGAGGCTGGGAGCTACTTGCTTTTGCAGAAACACTGAAGGAAGCCGGCCACCAGGCCTGCCACAATGGCCAGCATGATGCAGGAGACAGCACCTGCCCACACACTGGGCTGCTGCCCCTTGACGTGTCCCAGAGCCTCCGTGGGGATCATGTTGGTGAGGTTCAGCATGAAGCCCAGCGTCCACCCGATGTCTGTGTTTGCTGCCTGAGGTGAGGGAGCAGAGATCATCCAAAAGTGCCTCTCTCAGCCACCACCTCTCCCAGCTTTGGTCCAAGGGGCACTCCCATGAGGTGCCTCAGCTGCGATGTCACACATGGACCTGGCTGTGGTGAACCTGATCTTACCAGTCCCAAATACACACAGAGCTTTCCTTTCTCCCCTTCCCCAGGGCTGAAGGGCAGATGAATGTGGATGAACAAGGCCAGGTTGGACGGGGCTTGGAGCAAGCTGCTCTAGTGGAAGGTGTCCCTGCCTGTGGCAGGGGGTTGGAACTGAATGAGCTTTTAAGATCCCTTCCAACCCAAACCAGACTGGGTTTCTGATAATGGCTGCTCTGGTCCAGATCTGCCTCTGTGACCATGATTTTGGATCTGAGCTTTCCTCCTCCCCTGTGATCCTTCAAATTTGGTCCTATTCTGGTTCAAATGGGTTGTGGGGCCACCGTCAGCTCTCTGATGCTCAAGTCAATCCTGCCTCACATCAGACACCAGTGTAGCCAAATCCTCCTGTGCACTTCTCCAACCCACTTAAAATCAGCTTATGTTCACACCAGAGTGAGTGAGAACAAGCTGGTGTCAGAGGTTTGGGACAGGGAGGGAAGAGTGAAGCTGGGCTGGGGTTACTGGGCAGCAGGATGCAATGGGGAAACATTTCGGGTGCAGGGGACTCCAGGGATTCTGCTCCTGGACTTGTGCTGGGGCCAGGGCAAGGATGCAGAGCCCACAGGGTCCTTACCTGCCGCCTGAAGTGGATGTTGCTCCACGTGTGCTCACTGAACTTGTAGCCATCAAGCAGCAGTGTCAAGATGTAAATGGCCGTGAAGCAGTACTTGTGTAGATATCCCTTCTGCTGCGGGAAGGTCTCCACCAGCTGTGGGGCCATCCGGGGACACAGTGCAACAGGGAATGAGATGCTCAGGAGCCCTGCCTAGCCCATGGGACAGCAGGACAGTGCTGAGAGTTGGGACAGGACAAGCACAGGGCTCCTTTCTGCCCCTCACAGGGCTCTCACCTCTGCCCAGTCCTTCTTGCAGAAGGCCTGGACTGTGGAGTTGACGTCCTTTAGAGACTGCTGGCTGGTCAGGTTCAGGAAGTGGAAGGTGTAGTAGAATCCAGAGAAGGCCTGGGGGATAGGGGGAGGTGGTAAGAACTACACCTCCTTCCTCACCCCCAAAAAAGACCGAGGGTCCCCTCTAGCCTGGGGACAGAGTCCCACATAATTCCCAGGATTCTGCATCCAGCACTCCCTTGATGGTCTACCAGAAACCTTGCAGCTGGTTGGCAAGCCCTGGCGCTGCTGCTCATGCTCTGAGCCAGCTCAGGTTTGCTCCCTGGGACAGGATTTTCCCTCCAGGGGCTGGGGCATTGCACAGAGCAGAAGCCACCTCCCAGCACAGAAGAGGTTGCAGACGGGATCAGCCCTGGGGTTGCCTCTCTCCCCACAGCCAGTGGCAGAGGAGAATCCCACCCAGCCCTATTCCCCCACCACAGCCCAGGGACGGAGGCTCCTTACGAAGAACTGTCCCCGCACGGGCGGCTGATAGACCCCGTTGAACCCGCACGTGCTGTTGGCCCCACAGCTGAGGTTGAAGAGCTGCTGCACGGCGGCGCTGCACGCTGCTGGCTCCCCTGTCCCCATCACCCTGAGGAGCTGCGCGGCGCTGGGGCTGCTTGGGGCACGCACACAGGGGCTGTCGTAGAGCTCTGCCGTGGTGATGTTCTCCTGGTACCCCCTGGGGTAGCAGGGGTGTGAGATCTGCGCAGTGGATGGGCTGGCCTGGAGAGAGTGCGAGCCATTAGTGGGGTTTGGTGTGGGGTGCCAGGGAGGTCTGAGCCACAGCCCATCCTATGCTTAGACAGGGACTGGATCCTGCTTTTTTGGAGCAGAATCTAGACCCTAGGGTGATTTGAGAAGTAGGAGCCATCCTTTGCATGACTTTGTGGGTCCCACTGAGCTGTTCCCCTGTCAGCCTGTGCATCCCATGGGATTGGTAGAGCTGGTTGCTCCGACATTCACTCTGTCCCCATGCTGGTCCTAGCACAGAAAGGACCAAAGGTACATCCCACCTGCATGCTCCTTGAGCACCTCTGCCTCCCGCTACACTGGGCTGTGTGCTCTGTCTGAGGTGAGGCAGGAGGACACTGCCCAGTGGTGGAGCCATGTATGTTGGGAATCCTCTCTGGGGACAGAAACTAAGGAAGGGTGAGTGAACAGGGGCAGGAAAAAGCTTGAGGATACAGCTGGGCTTGGGAAATGATGGAAGATGCTATTACATGTCAACATTTGGGGAGAAGGAACCTGGCAGGGAACCACCACCACTTCCCATCCAAATGAGAGCATTTTGGTTCAGCAGATAAAATCTAAGCTTCTCCACGGTTTTTGAATTCCAGAGGAATGCCCAACATTTCTGGAAGGCATTGTTGATGGCAATGGGAAGTGCTTGAGCAGCTCCTGGCGACCAGCTCCAGCCTGCGGTACCTGGTGGAGAGCTGCCAGCAGCCTCTTCAGGGCCTGTGTCTGCCCATAGCAGAGGTAGCTGTGGGTGTAGAGCGAATAGTTGGTGCCATACAGCCTGAAGAAGACAGAGGTGTTCTTGTCCTCAATGGTGACTCCAGGCTGGAAGGTTATTTGTGTTGAGGCACCTCCAAGGTCCAGAGCTCCGAGAACCTCAGCATCCTGTGGATGTTCCCATTTCTCTGCAAAGGAATACTGGCCCGACAAGACAGCAAGTGTCAGTCTGAGCTGGAGATAGCCACAGTCCCTGTCCCTTCTCTCCAGGCTTTGTGTGCTCCCAAGTCCCTGAGGGACCTTCCACATCCTGTCTCCCTGTTTAAGCCCTTCCTGCCTACACCCTCCTGAACCCACATAGATGTCTGTGTAACAGTGGCTGACGTCTGTTCCCTTGGTTGCTGCACATCAGCTGGAATACGGAGACTTTGGGGAGGGAAACAGTAACATTTTGATCTGGGGTTTGGAGCTGCTGTATCCCTGTGATACCAAACCTGATCCATGTGTAGGTAGAGAGTACAGGGCCAGGCAAAAGGACACAGAGACCCTTGATTGTGTTATTTACATGCAGCTCACAACCACAGGCTACATTTACCTGTGTGACAAGCACCCTGCACCTACGTATTCCTCGTGTCCGGGGGAAACCCGGCTGGGGCTCACACAGGGATGTCACTGCTCATCCCCGAGCCCGCTGCCTGAGCACGCACCTTGACGAGCGTCTCCAGCAGGAAGTTGACGCTGATCCAGCCAAAGGAGCCCTCCTCGTTCCCCGTCAGGACCTGAGCTCCGCGGAACTCCACCGGGTACTCGCCAATGGTCCTGGCCACCTCGGCAAAGACCTGCTGGGCCTTGGTGCTGTTCTGCTCCCTGCCCGGGGAAGGAGATGGACACCGCGAGTGGAGGAGGCGATGGGGAGCTGACAGCGAGCGGCTGCCGCTGGTGCCAAGGAGCAGAGAGAGGGCAAAGCCAGCAGATCCCTCCTGTGCTGCGCTGGGAGTGCCCCTAAAAATGCTGCCTGTGGGCTCGGCCTGAGAACACAGGAAGGGTCATGGCAAGTCTGGCAAAGGAGGTGCTGGCAGAGGAGGCCATGGAGATGCTGCGAGGGCTGGAGCAGCTCTGCTCTGGAGCCAGGCTGAGAGAGCTGGGCTGGGGCAGCCTGGAGAAGAGAAGGCTCCTGAAGGGGAGACCTTAGAGCAGCTCCAGTGCCTAAAGGGGCTGCAGGAAAGCTGGAGAGGGGCTTGGGACAAGGGCCTGTAGGGACAAGGGCTGTGGGGTTTCCCCATGGGCACAGTGAGCGTCTCTCTTGGACACCCCATAGGCCGCAGATGTGGATGCTCTGCCCATCCCCGTGGCCCCCGGGACAGCCCCCCTGCTGCCCGCAGCCCCTTGTGCCCCCAGCCCCTGCCCAGGCTCCGGTGCAGGAGCACGTGGTGGGAAGGGTGGAGGTGCCGGCTCCACACTGTGCTGTACCTCAGCAGCCGCATGCCCGCTGTGGCCCCCAGGTAGGTGGGGGTCTCCTGCTGCTGCTCTGCCGGGATGATCTCCATGGCCTTGTCCAGGCAGGGCTTCAGGCTGGCTCCAGCCCCGGTGGGGTCGTCTGCATAGCTGGAGATGCCGGGTCCTGCAGGAGAGCCCCGTGTGATGGAGCCAGGTCAGTGACACCCAGGAGGGACAGGATAGTGCGGGACTGTCAGCGATGAAGCCCCCAGGGGTTTGTCCCTGCATTCCCAGTCTCTTCTTGCCCTTGCATGGGTGTCCTGCCTGGGCAGTGCTCAGAGCCGACCTGCCTGGAGGCAGCACGTGTGCCACAGCCACAGGCAGCTCCTGCGCCGCCCACAGTGGAAGGGCAGCAGCGTGCCTTGTGATGCTGAGCTCTTGTTTAATGCAGGTAGGTGGAACTGCCTGACACAGCCTGGCATTCCTGCAGGACTCGTTCAGCAAACACAGCACTTCCCTATTCCCCTGGGGAAGGGGCAGGCTCTCCTTTGTCCTGCTGTGTGCGGAGTGCATGCACATGCAGAGGTACCCTCTCACAGCTTGTTTGAGTTCCTATTTTTGGAAGCTGGCAGCAGATCTGAGCACCCAGCGTGGTCCTGTGGAGGGCAGGGACAGGCTCTGGGGTGTAAATACCACTATTTACCTTCCCTGGCTCCGCACACCATTAGTGCCATTAGCCCATCTCCATTACACTTTGCTCTCTGCTGGACCCCTGAAGTTAACCAGTAACTGACCTGCCTGGATGTGAGGTTAAGGTGAGCTCGGAGCCCTCCCAGCCCCTGGCTTGGCACCTCTGCCCTTGCCCAGCAGCCTTTGCCAGTCCCAGCGCAGCTCCATGTACCATTTAGCTGACCCTACCTCCCTCGCGATCCTGGTCCTTCCCTCCAGAAAGACCAACCTGAGAGCACCTTTGCAATAGGAATAGATGGGCCTTTGGGTATTTATAAATACCCAATAGATGAATAACTGCCCTTGGGGTATTCGCCGTTCACCTCACCCAGCAAGAACCAGCCAACCCCGCCTGGTGCTGCAGGGCAGGTGCCCTGGTGAAGGGTCCCTGTGCGGAGCAGGGGCAGGGGCAGGGGCAGGGGCAGGGACAGCACATCCCGGCACTCACCGGCTGCAGTGCAGGCCTCCACCTGGGACACGATGCCGGTGCCGTTCTCCTTGTCCGCAGGCCACCGGTAGATGTAAAGAGCCGTGTGCGTGGAGCCGGCATCAAACACCAGCCCGTACTGGGGGCAGAGGGGACAGGGACTGTCAGGGGGTGCCGCCAGCAGGGCTCCTGGGGCAGGGGAAGCTCAGATGGTTAAGAGTGGCACCAGAAGAGGGAGAGCCCTGGGGACTGCAGTCACTGTGCTGAGGACAAGGATCCACCAGAAGCCCTTTGAGCTCCAGTGAAAAGGATGAATGTGCTGTAGGGTCAGGCAGTGACAGAACTCTGCCAGATGCAGGGCAGCCTGTGAAGGAGCTTGTCCCTATAGAATCCCAGCCTGGTTTGTGTTGGAATGGACCTTAAAGCTCATCTAGCTCCAACCCCTACCATGGGCAGGGACCCCTTCCACTGGAGCAGCTTGCTCCAAGCCCCTGTGTCCAACCTGGCCTTGAACACTGCCAGGGATGGGGCAGCCACAGCTTCTCTGGGCACCCTGTGCCAGCGCCTCAGCACCCTCACAGGGAAGAGCTTCTGCCTAAGAGCTCAGCTCAGTCTCCCCTCGGGCAGGTTCAAGCCATTCCCCTTGCCCTGTCCCTACAGGCCCTTGTCCCAAGCCCCTCTCCAGCTTTCCTGCAGCCCCTTTAGGCACTGGAGCTGCTCTAAGGTCTCCCCTTCAGGAGCCTTCTCTTCTCCAGGCTGCCCCAGCCCAGCTCTCTCAGCCTGGCTCCAGAGCAGAGCTGCTCCAGCCCTCGCAGCTTTCTGGGCTCAAGCCTGCCTGAAACCCCCGGAAAATCCTCTACCAAGGGGCAGCCAGCACCCATGTGAGAGCAGGCGGCTCCTCCCAAGGACCCTACCTTGGTGCTGGGAGGCAGAATCACGTCCTTCACATTCACGATGCTCAGAATGAGGGCAATGAAGCTGAAGACACAAGTGGCTGCCAGGAGACCTGCAAGGACCTTGGCTTTGTGGTCCATTCCTCCTCCAACCTGCAAGAACAGCCCCAACAACATGCTCCCACCTCTGCACTTGCAAAGCCAGTTTTAAAATACAAATCTCATATATGGATATGGGAAATGCAAATCCCACATACGGATATGGGACTTTCCTGTTCCCTTGCAAGGCCTGAAGCCATTCTCTAGGGCATGGCTGCTCTTTTGGCAGTCTCAGGCTGGGACACCCTGCTCTGCTGAGCACTCCCTCCCTGGGGATTTGCAGCCTGGCTTTACTGCCTCAGCTGCAGCCCTTTGGGCTCCTCTCTGCACACAGACCCCATCCCTCTGCCCTGCTCCAACTGCATGGCTGGGGGAAGCATTGGGAGCAGGACCCTGCCCTGGCAGCTTCCCACTGTGGCCATCCCCTTCGGGATGCAGAGCCACATCCCTTCATCATCCCCTGCATCCTCACAGAACCCGTCCCACAAGATCTGGGACCATCAGGCAGCATCTGTTGCCCAACAGGCCCAGACTGTCCCTGCTCCGGGTCCTCTCTGCACCAGGCAGGGGAACAGCATCTAGAGCCCCATCTGCCTCGCCTTGGCTCCGGGTGATGCCACAGCAGGTCATACACACAGGGACATGTCCTTGCCTGCAGGTGACCTCCAAGCCTCTCCTGCAGCACCAGGGGCAGGCAGAAGGGCAGAGGCAGGAGGCTCCTGTGGACTGGGGCACACACAGCCCTGTAGCCAAGCTGGGATACCAACAGTGACAGCATCACACGGGCAGCCCAGGCAGAGGGTGCAGAGGAGCTCTGGGGATGGGAGGGGGTTCTGCACCTCCTGCTTGTCTGGCTGGAGCTCAGCTCCCAGCAGGGTCAGCCTAAGGCATTGGGAAGAAATTGCAGCAGAGAAGCAAAGCCAAAGGATCTGGTTCTCTGCAATGGCCTCAGCACACAGCAGCACCCCAGCTCATCCAGGTGTGCTTTCCTCAGCACCCTGCCGCATGCCACCATGGGCTGGCTTCCTCTATGGCCTCAGGCTGAGCAGGGGATATCCCGAGAGCCTGGACACAGTCTAGAGAGGTGGGTGAAGCACCCAGAGCTCTGGGGTGGCACCTGGGGGCTGTCCCTTGGCTGCACAATTCTCCTGTGAGCACAGAGAGCCACAGAGAAATTCCCTTGCCCTTTTGCCAGGTCAGTGCCTGGAACCAGAGGTGAAAGGCTTTTGGCAAGGTCAGAGGAGATGCTGATTCCTGGTTCAGTGTCAGCATCCCCAGTGATGAACAAGGGTGACCAATACCTGCATGGCATGAGATCTGTAACGATGGATCTGTTCTTCTGGCCCACGTCATGGGACACAGGAGGAGAGGAAACCCTTATCAGGGAGCCCTGCCCTGTGCAGCGGCTATGGCCAGAAGAGAACATATGGAAGCAGCTGATGAATCCCTATATTGCCATGTCTACAGTCCTATCAGCCTGGAGTTTGCCTAGATACAGCTGTGTCATGGGGATGGGATTTCCCTGCTCTGGGTAATACAATAAAGCCCAGCCCAGCCCACATCCTGGAAAACCCTGTCCCAGGCACCGTGCAAGGGAATGATGTGAAATGGAGATAAATTGCACGTCCTGCATGCGGGAGCGGGTGGGAAATGGGCTCCACCTGCTCTGATAGGGACTAAACTCCATCTGGACTGGGCAGGAGGCAGCATCCAAAGGCAGTACAGAGCCGGGGAGGGCAGCAGGGCATGGGGAGGGATCCCAAGGGTGGAAAACAAGGCAAGAAGCATGTGAGAAGCTGATCCATCTGCCCGGGCTGCCCGGCGCTGAATCCTCGTGCTGCAGGGACGGGAGGTGATGGTGATGCCTCAGAGCTGCAGAAGGGGCTGCAGAGCCCACAGGGAGCAGTGCCCGTGGGGAAGGTTCCCGGCTGTGCCCAGCCTGGGCCGTGGCTGCCCTTGTCTGTGTGAGCTGGCACCACAAGCGCTCCGAAAGCACCGCGGGGCATCCCGCACCTGCAGCGCCCCCGGAGCAGGAGGGCAGGCTCGGAGGCTCCGCCGGTGCTCAGGACACCGGGGCTGAGCTCCCACCCTGCGCGTGTGGGATGTGTAAGCCAAAGGAGCTCTTTCGAGGGTAAGAACGAGGGTGAGGGGGAGCGCTGTGAGCTCCATGCCAGGCAGAGCGGTCCCTGCCTCCTATCTCTCCCACCGGTGCTGGGGCACAGCAGTGCCCTCCATGCCCTGTCCATGTAACCCCATGCCGCCTGCAGTCCACTGAGCATGTTTGTCCCCAGCACGGGCTCCAGCGCTGACCCACCACCCCCCTCCGAGCCAAGCTCCATCTATGGCTCCCCAAGCCCCTTCCCTGCCCAGGCTCACCCTGGCTGCTCCCGGCTCCGCCGCTCGCCCGTGTCACCGTGTACTTGGAGTGTGGAGCCCGCTCCTGGGACAAAGGCTGCCCCGGTCCCCGCTATGGCCCTCCCCTTGGCTTCGGACCAGCAACCTGCCCAGGAGAGCCTTGTCCAGGAGGCAGTGGGGCTGGAGAGCCAGGGTGGAATGGGAATTGCGTCCGGTGTTAACCACTTGCCTGCTGGACACGTCCACCCATGGGGTGCTGACCATGCCATGGGGCAGCTCCCTGGAAGCTCAGGCCGAGCTGAGCCTGCACCCCTGCCCCTCGGGGAGCCTGTGGGCGGCCTGGCCCTGGGGTGACGGCAGCGGCTTAGGTCAGGGAGACCCACAGACATCCCTGCCCCAGACCTGCTGCAGAAGCACACAGCCCCATGGAGCGTGGACCGAGTCGGTCACCCAAACCCTGCTGTCACCTAGTGCTGCCCCAGTGCAGGCAGGGGGACAGCGGCCCAAGACAGAAACAAGAGTGACCCATCCCCATGGCCAGCGTGCCCCACAGCCAGAGACCCAACCCCATGGCCAGGGAGGAGTCCCCGTTGTCAGGGTCCCATCACCCTGGGGCAGTGCAGGCAGGGTGCAGGCAGGGTGCAGGCAGCGGTACAGGCAGGGGTGCAGGCAGAGGTGGATGCAGGGTGCAGGCAGCGGTACAGGCAGGGGTGCAGGCAGAGGTGGATGCAGGGTGCAGGAAGCGGTGCGGGCAGGCCGCGGGGTTGCCCCGCCCTTGCTGCGGGCCGTCCCGGGAGGGAACCCGGACACGCGGCGTCGGTCCAGGCCGCGCTTTCGCTTTGCATTGCCCCGGGCCGGGTACAGGCAGCGCAGGCAGCGCCGGGACCCGGCCGTTCCCCCCTGGGCTCCTCCCGCTCTCAGCCGCTGCCCCCGGCGTTGCTCCGCTGAGGACCCCGGGGCAGGGTCGCGGTCCCGCACCCGTCGTGTCCCGGGGCGCCGCTGGCACAAGCGGAGCCGGGAGGGGCTGGGGCTGCCCTCGCAGAGGCCGTCCCGGCTGCGGGATGCAGAGCCCCGCGCTCAGGGCGCTGGGCTGCGGCTCGGTGGCTGTGCTGGGAGCGCTGGCGGTGGCCGCCTTCCTCCTGGTCCTGACCCCGGTGAAGGACGCTGCCCTTCCTGCCAGGAGCAAAGTAGGTGCCCGGTGGAACCTCCGGCTCCTTCCCACCTCTCGCCCCTCCACCACCTCTGCCCTCCGCCCTGCTTGCAAGTCTTCCCACAGCCACCCCTATCAGGGCTTAACCTGATGGAGGTACATCAATCACCCCCTCAGCCATGGTCCTGGCTCCTTGCTAAGGATGGAAGAGCAGCTGCTCCATCCGCACCCCAAACACTTCCTTTCCTCTTTTCAGCCGCCCTGGCCACCTGGTGGGGTTTCATCTCTCTCTCCTGTCGCTTTCTGCTGCCTGGTTGTTAAAACCAGTCAGGGCTCGTGAGAGTTTCTCTTCCCAAAGGGGTGGGAGCAGCTCTGGGACGGGTGCCTGGCTCCCTTCCCGCCCTGCACATCACCCTGCTGACCTGCACGCCTTTCCTTCCTGAGCTGCAGCTCCCTTGGCGAAATCAGGGTGCTCGGAGCTGGAGGGAGGTTGGACACGCAGAGCTGTGCTGCTCATGTGCACACATGGGAAGCAAGAGCAGCAGCCTCAGAACCGCCCATGGGACTCGGTTCAGCCCAAGCGTGCTGTGACCCGTGTCCCCTCTGCCCCCAGTACGGGCTGGTGTTTGATGCCGGCTCCACGCACACGGCTCTTTACATCTACCGGTGGCCTGCGGACAAGGAGAACGGCACCGGCATCGTGTCCCAGGTGGAGGCCTGCACTGCAGCCGGTGAGTGCCGGGATGTGCTGTCCCTGTCTCCCACGCTCCTGGATCACTGTCCCAGGCTCACAGCATCGTGGGTGAGCTCAGTCTTTCAGCCTGTGCTGGGAAAAAGGGAGGTGGCCTGGTGGGAGCACCAAAGAAAAGTGTTGAGGGGATGGTCTGCACCTCAGGGTACCACGGTAACTGTGGGATGCAAAGGTGGGTGAGGATCATGGCCCTGTTAGCGTGGTTCCTTCAGCCAAGTTGTGTCTTGCACGTGGTGGCTTTGCATCAACTCACAGCCTGGGATGCTGGATGGGCAGAGGTTGCTCCTCTCCCATGTAACTGCGTCCTTGGATCTTCTTCCCACAATATCTCTTCCCAGCTTCTTCAGTAAGCTAGAATCAGAGTGGTTTGTGTTGCAAGGCACCTTAAAGCTCACCCAGCTCCAACCCCTGCCACAGGCAGGGACCCCTTCCACTGGAGCAGCTTGCTCCAAGCCCCTGTGTCCAACCTGGCCTTGAGCACTGCCAGGGATGGGGCAGCCACAGCTTCTCTGGGCACCCTGTGCCAGCACCTCAGCACCCTCACAGGGGAAGAGCTTCTGCCTAAGAGCTCAGCTCAGTCTCCCCTCTGTTAGCTTAAATCACCCTTGTCTTATCCCTATATGTACCCATGGGACATCCTAAAAGCACTGCAGAACTCCCTAAACATGACTACGGTTCTGCTGTTTTCCCGTATGTGGTTCCTAACACTCCCCTGGGTCAGTGGTGTTCATTTTGGTGTCTCTATGGCATCAAACACAGCGGAGTTCGGGGCTGTGACCAGAATATCTGCCAAGTTGGTCCAGAGAGCAACCTGGGACTGGTGAAGGGGTGTGCATGTCCCTGCTGTTCCGTCCCTCCTGGGTGTCACTGACCTGGCTCCATCACACGGGGCTCTCCTGAAGGACCCGGCATCTCCAGCTACGCAGACGACCCCGCGGGGGCCGGAGCCAGCCTGAAGCCCTGCCTGGACAAGGCCATGGGGATCATCCCGGCAGAGCAGCAGCAGGAGACCCCCACCTACCTGGGGGCCACAGCGGGCATGCGGCTGCTGAGGTACAGCACAGCGCGGAGCCGGCACCTCCACCCTTCCCACCACGTGCTCCTGCACTGGAGCCTGGGCAGGGGCTGGGATGGGGCTGGGGACACAAGGGGCTGCGGGCAGCAGGGGGGCTGTCCCGGAGCCCACGGGGGTGGGCAGAGCATCCACATCTGCGGCCTATGGGGTGTCCAAGAGAGATGCTCACTGTGCCCATGGGGAAATCCCACAGCCCTTGTCCCTACAGGCCCTTGTCCCAAGCCCCTCTCCAGCTTTCCTGCAGCCCCTTTAGGCACTGGAGCTGCTCTAAGGTCTCCCCTTCAGGAGCCTTCTCTTCTCCAGGCTGCCCCAGCCCAGCTCTCTCAGCCTGGCTCCAGAGCAGAGCTGCTCCAGCCCTCGCAGCATCTCCATGGCCTCCTCTGCCAGCACCTCCTTTGCCAGACTTGCCATGACCCTTCCTGTGTTCTCAGGCCGAGCCCACAGGCAGCATTTTTAGGGGCACTCCCAGCGCAGCACAGGAGGGATCTGCTGGCTTTGCCCTCTCTCTGCTCCTTGGCACCAGCGGCAGCCGCTTGCTGTCAGCCCCGCGCTGGAGCTGCACGGCCATCGCCTCCTCCACTCGCGGTGTCCATCTCCTTCCCCGGGCAGGGAGCAGAACAGCACCAAGGCCCAGCAGGTCTTTGCCGAGGTGGCCAAGACCATTGGCGAGTACCCGGTGGAGTTCCGCGGAGCTCAGGTCCTGACGGGGAACGAGGAGGGCTCCTTCGGCTGGATCAGCGTCAACTTCCTGCTGGAGACGCTCGTCAAGGTGCGTGCTCAGGCAGCGGGCTCGGGGGGTGTCCCCTCCGCAGGCTGTGCAGGGACGCTGGCACCCCCGTGCCAGGTCCCGGTGCGTGACTCCCTGTGTGGGGCAGTGCTCCCTCACAGGCACATGGACCCACCCGCCTCCCGAGGATGTGGTCGGAGCTTTGGACCTCGGTGGGGCTTCAACCCAGATCACGTTCCTTCCTGGGACCCCCATAGAAGACATCAGCACTGGAGCCCTCCTCAGGCTGTATGGGGCCAGCTACTCCGTCTACACCCACAGCTATCTCTGCTATGGGCAAAAGCAAGCCCTGAAGATGCTGATGGCTTCCTTACACCGGGTAACTGACCCCAGCCTTGTGCTCCTCTACTGCAGCCTGAACCCTGATCTATGAAGCTTGGTGGGCAGCACCCACTGGGTGTCGCGGCTGCTGGGCTGGGTGCCTTTGTGCAAGCCCCAGTGAGGATGATGGATACAACAGGGCCACCATGGCACAGGGCACTCCGGGGGGGGGTCCCAACGTCCAAGAACAGGACTGTACTGAAATAGAGGTGAACACCCCAGAGCAGAGATCTGCTGACCCTACAAAGGAGAGAGGGGACAAAATAGGTCCATGCTCAGCACAGGGTGCAAACCCCTAAGGCCTTGAGCATGCAGCTGCTCCCTGACCAGTGTGGTTGTGCCACGTTTGTCCCCACAGTTCTGTACCTGCACCCCATGGGTGGTGGAGCCAGCATGCTGGTGTCCTGCTGTGGGAACAGGCACTCTCTGTGGGCTGCTTCTCTCCTTTCCATCCTCATCCTCAGGGCCAGGGCGATGCTAACGCTCCTGCTCTCTCCAGGCCAGCCCATCCACTGCGCAGATCTCACACCCCTGCTACCCCAGGGGGTACCAGGAGAACATCACCACAGCAGAGCTCTACGACAGCCCCTGTGTGCGTGCCCCGAGCAGCCCCAGCGCCGCGCAGCTCCTCAGGGTGATGGGGACAGGGGAGCCAGCAGCGTGCAGCGCCGCCGTGCAGCAGCTCTTCAACCTCAGCTGTGGGGCCAACAGCACGTGCGGGTTCAACGGGGTCTATCAGCCGCCCGTGCGGGGACAGTTCTTTGTAAGGAGCCTCTGTCTCTGTTTCTGGGGGAGTTGTGGGGTTTTGGAGCACCAGAAGCTGGCCATGACCCAGGAAAACTGCTGTAGGAGCAGTGGGATGCTGGATGTGCCTGAGGCATGGTGATGTGCAGGGTCCTCACCAGGCAGACCCACACCCCTGCTGTCACAGCACCCATCTCTTTCAGTGTGAGGAGCAGTCCCAGTGGGTTTGACAGGCTGAGGGTGGCCTTAGGGATGCCTGCAGAGGGCTGGTGGTGTGGCAGAGCCCTGGGTGCTTCGCTAACTTGCCACCTTTGGTCTTAACCACCCACAGGCCTTCTCAGGGCTTTATCACAGCCTTCACTTCCTGAACCTGACTGGAGGGCAGCCCCTGAGCTTGGTCAATGCCACCATCGAGCAGTTCTGCACCAGCACCTGGGAGAAGGTGAGAAACTGCCCAGGGGATGGCAGCCCCTGCCCTTGCTCTGCCCGGGCACTGGGCAGCTTGGGGCTCATCCAGAGCCCATCCTCTGGAGAGGGCAGGGAGGAGCACAAGGCTCCCTGGGCAGGAGAGCAGCCTCCCGGCTCCCCAGGCCCAGCTGTGCTGGGTCTTTGCTCCCGGCTGCACTGCGGGGCTTTCCCGGCAGTGTGGGTGCTCCAAGCACTGCTCCCAGCACTGCTCCCACTCCTCCACCCCTGCAGGTGCAGCAGGAGTTCCCCACCGTGAGCAGGATCCAGCTCCGTGATGCTTGTGCAGGCAGCACCTACGCCCTCACCCTGCTCCTGCAGGGCTTCAGATTCAACCACACCACGTGGCTGAACATCCGCTTCACCCGGCAGGTAGGGATGTGCCCAGCAGCTCCCAGCCTGTGCCATGAAGGGGCTCATGCCCACCCTGAGCTGCAGCACAGCCCATTGCCCATGCCCAGGGCTGGCCTTCTTGCCTACCTTTGCCTTGGCTACTCTATCTTTGAAGCCTTTCCCATCCCTCTTCCTTCTCTGTCTGCACAGGTCACTGGTGTAGACGTGGGTTGGACTCTGGGCTACATGCTCAACCTCACCAACATGATTCCCTCGGAGATCCCCCAGAGGGTCGTAGGGCTCCAGAGAAGCAATTGGATAGCAGCCATGGTTCTACTGGCCACCATGCTCATCCTCACCTTCTGCCTGCTCGCACTCACGTGCTGCAGGAAGAGCTCCTCCGGTTATGCCAGTCTCTAGCAGTGCTGGCCCCAGGGGCAGCCCAAGCACTTGGTCCTGATGCTGCACCTGTGTGAGGAGCTGCACAACAGGGACCCCCCCGTGCCCAGGAGCTGTGAACTGGTAACGTGGGTGCCTGCGTCCTGGCCTGGTGAGCTGGAACTGGCACAGGCTTTAAAATCTCTGCCTTGTATCTGCGCTGTCTGGTTTTCCCTTCCCCTTGCTGCTGGCTGGAGATGCTCTAGGAGGGACGGCATGGCCACGTGGGGCAGGGGCTCAGCGCTGGGGGCATGGGGACTGCAGCGATGTGGGGTGGCTGGAGGTGGCAGGTCAGGGAGAAGGGGGGACTGTCAGCAATGGGATGGTTACAGCCTGCAGCAGATACCCCATGTGGGGCAGACATGACCTGGCCATCCCAGGCCAAGGGGCTGCATTGGCCATTGCATTGCCAGCACCAGGCAGAGGGGCAGCAGCACTGGAGCTATGCAGGGGAGATGGGTCTTGGGCTCTCCCCGTGACTGGGAAGCCCTGGGAGGTGGGGGATGGCAGCAGCCCCCTGCTCTCCTGCACAAGGTTCCTCTCCAGTCCGGCTGCAGCCCATGTCTGTGCCCAGCAGACATCCCCCCCTCCCTTTCATAGAGTCACAGAATGGTCTGGGTTGGAAAGGGCTTCAAGATCATCTGGTTCCAACCCCTGCCACGGGCAGGGACCAGCACACGGGTGATTTGGGAATGCTGCTGGGATGTGTTAGGGCTCCCTTACAGTTCTGGGGAGTCCCACTGGCAGCCAGGGGCTGGGTGAGGTGAGACACCCCGGCTCTCAGCAGCAAAATGCCTGTCCTGGTGCCCTGCTGGCTTCTCTTCAGCATCTGGCAGATACTGCAGGGGCTTCAGGGGCATCTGCAGTAGAACTGAGCAATGGTGACTGTCCCCTGAATCCCTGTTGTCATCACCAGCCCTGACCTGCGAGATGGAAACCAGAAAGTCACGACTGTGCAGGAGCAAAGCAACAGCATTTCCCCATCGCTGCCTTTCACATGATTTATTTGGATGTCTGAGGCACCAACAGTCAGCTCCTCACTGCAGAGAGGCCCAGAACCACTGCATCAGCTGCAGGCAGATGAAAACCGAGCAGGCCTCAAGGCAAAGGCAGGGGTGCAGTTTTGGGCAGGATCCAGCTCATCCCCATGGGCAGGGGCAGGGCAGGACTAGGAGCCTGAGCCCATGGTGTCCAGCCTGATGGTGGGACAGCGTTTGCAGGTGATGGGACATATGAATGTCTCAGTACCCAGACAGTGGGACAGTGTTTGTCTCCAGGCAGACATTCAGAAACATAGATCCCTTTATCCCAGAAGAAAGGGAAGATGAGACGAGACAGACCCTCGGGGAGCCATGGACCATGTTTCTGACTTTGGATGCTCAATTTTGCTTGTCTCCAACACCACCAGGTAAGCCCACACGATTCACCCTCAGGAGAGCCAGATGTGGTACTGCAGAGCATTTCATGCCCCTCACAGGCACCTGCTGGGCTGTTGGTGACCATAACCAGACCCAGCATTGCACCAAGCACCCAGTCACAAGTGCTTGCAGCCCTGTGCTATCAGTCTGGCACTTGGGGAGCTCCTCCATGGCCAGGCTGGTTCCCCATGGCCCCACGGGCCAGCTGGTGGGGTGGAGGCCACATCTGTAACAGGTATAGCAAAATAAGGAGGCAGATGGGCACAGCTGAGGTTCCTGTGGTGTGTAGGCAGAGCTCCAATGGAAACCTCACATAGTGCCTATCTGCATGGTGGGGCCAGCCCCATGGGACACTCTACCTCAGCTCTTTGGTGCTGTCGAGATGCTCAGCATCACTGAACCAGCCCCAGGCTGCCAGCCCTGGGGGCAGAAGGAAGGGGGACCCAGCACCGATGGTTTTCCAGCCCTGATGCACACCTACCAGGCTCTGAAATGCAGCCAGGCTCCTACCCCCACAGGAGCAGGAGCAGGGCAGTGAGTCCCAGGACAAGGGTGAGGATGATGAAGGTGATGGCCGCAGCCCACAAGGAAGGAACGTGCCCCTTCACCCACACCGGAGCCTCGGCCGGGATCCTGGTGGTGAGGTTGAGCATGTACCCCAGCGTCCAGCCCACGTCGGCGCTCCCTGCCTGCCCAGGGAGAGGGGACACGAGTTACCCTGCAGGAAAGCCACAGCAGCAACACCGCCCGCAGCCCAGAGAGTGGCTTCCTGGAGCATAGCTCTCGCATCACCCAACGTGGGAAGCTGGCTCTTGTCCTCCTCTGCTCCTGCCCACGGGCTGCATTTGCTGCCTACCTTCATCTGGAAGATGATGTTGCTCCAGCTGGTCTCATTGAACTTGTAGGCATCGAGGAGGAGGGTGAGGATGTAGTTGGCATTGGCGCAGTATTTCGGCAGGCGCTGAGGGTTCTCTTCAGGGTAGCTGGAAGAGAGCTGGGGTGGGGACATGTTTGGAGGGGGGAGTTACTCGCAGGCAGTTTTTGTGCAGGGACAATGGTGCTGCAGGAGGGACAATGGTGCTGCAGTCACCAGCATCTGGAAAAAGACTGTGGACCAGGCAGGTATTTGGGACCTGTTCCACACAGGGCAACTCCTTTGAAGATGATTTACACCCTACACAGGAACAGAGCTCCTCCTGCCCCACATTCTCCCATCTTATCCTCCTTGTGAAGGCGCTCCTCCTCTCTGCCCCATGGTGATCTTAGCAAAGCTCTTGGCCTTATCCATCCTCATTTGAATTGCCTCCAGAGTGGTGCCAGCAGCTGCGTTTCCTCTCACCATCCTCCAGTGCTATAGACCCACCTCCATCCCTAGCTCCTGTGCTGGAGGGGAGATTCTGCTGCCTTCACCTGCCTCGGCTGCCCCTTTCCCAGCTAAAGTTCCCTGCTCGTATGAGCAAGGAAGATCCCATGGTGAGTGCAGGACAGCCCTGGCTCTCACACATTGCTCAGGGATGGCTCTGCTGTGTCAGGCACAGTCAGCAATCAGGGACCTTTGCCATGGAGGGGTCCCCGCTCCTCTTCCCCCTCCCCAGGGCCCCTTTGCTTGTGAAGCTTCCACACTGCCTCCCACCATGAGGAACATACATCTTCCCAGCTTCTCCTGCAGAAACGTTCAATGGTCTCCCTGACAGTGGTGAGTGTCTGCCTCTCGGTCAGGTTCAGGAACTTGAAGTTATAGTAGAAGGCAGAGAAGGCCTGAAAGGCAAGAGGCAGAAACAGCATTGAGCTACAGTGGAGACCAACACCAGGCAGCTGCAGTTTGTCCTACCCTGGTATAGCTCCAGAGCATCACTGTCCATGTCCCAGCAGAGGTGATGCGCTGGGGTGCAGGTGCCTGCTGGCTACAGCAGCACATCCAACGCCTTGCCTGAAGGCTGCTGGCTAAGCTGGGCTTTATTACTGAAAACCTGGGCTGTGGCTTCTCACTGGTTTCATTAACATGGTCCCATTTGGAGACCTGGCTGGCATCAGCAATCCCTGGTGTGCCCTGGGGCAGGGATCACTTGGGAGCTTTTTGCCCCCATTCTGCTGTGGGGAGGTGGCAATGCCATGGGGCACGCAGGGACACCACAGCACATGCTCTGCCATGGAGGTGGGAGGACAGGATTTGCCTTACAATGAACTGCCCTCTGACCGGCGGCTGGTAGATGCCATCGAAGGTGCAGTCGGGGCTCTGGCCACACGCAGAGAAGTTGAAGAGCTTCCTGATGGCAGCCAGGCACCGGCTGGCATTGCCCCTGCCCTCCAGGGTGATGTTCCTGTCGCCAGGGCCCAGGCGTGGGTCGCTCTGGTTCGTGCAGGGACTGGTGCGGAAGGAAGACAGCGACACGGTTTCATTGTAGTCTGTTGGGTAGCAGGGGTGATGGACTCGTGTGCTGGGGGATGACTCCTGGGAATGGCAAAACCGCAGGCTGCAGCCTCCTCCAACCCCTGCTGGCGGCAGCTCTGGCACAGGAGACCCCAGTGCTCCACCAAGCACCATTCCCACTGGGAAAAACATTTCCCCTGTATTTGAATCATAGAATCACAGGATCCCAGCCTGGAAGGGACCTTAAAACTCACCCAGTCCCAACCCCTACCACGGGCAGGGACCCCTTCCACTGGAGCAGCTTGCTCCAAGCCCCTGTGTCCAACCTGGCCTTGAACACTGCCAGGGATGGGGCAGCCACAGCTTCTCTGGGCACCCTGTGCCAGCGCCTCAGCACCCTCACAGGGAAGAGCTTCTGCCTAAGAGCTCAGCTCAGTCTCCCCTCGGGAGGTTCAAGCCATTCCCCTTGGCCTGTCCCTACAGGCCCTTGTCCCAAGCCCCTCTCCAGGTTTCCTGCAGCCCCTTTAGGCACTGGAGCTGCTCTAAGGTCTTCCCTTCAGGAGCCTTCTCTTCCCGAGTCTGACCCAGCCCAGCTCTCTCAGCCTGGCTTCATAGGACAGATTGGAAACCCAAATGTTCCAGCTTGTGCCCATTGCCTCTTGCCCTTTTAGTTTTCCCCTCTGAGAAGAGCCTGGTCCTGCATTCTGTACACCCTGCGTGAGGCATCTGTGTACAGCCAGAAGGTGTCTCCCGAGATGCCCCTTCTGATGCTTCCCATACTCCCTTCCATGTCTGCCTTGCTGTGCTCTCACAGGAGTCTCTACCTACTCTCAGTCCCTGCTGATGTGTCTCTGGAAGAGCTTTGACTGTTCTTATTTTATGTATTAACAAGCCTGTTGCTGGCATCATGAGACCAGAGTCCAGTTCCCCCCCAGTTCCCCTCTCACCGCAATCAGTTCCTTTGCCAGTCGCTTGAGCATCTCGTTCTGGCCATAGCAGAGGTAGCTGTGTGTGTAGATGCTGTAGTCATACCCGTACAGTGTGAACTTGGAGCCTTCCTTCCAGTTCACCTCTGAACCTTCGGGTATGAAGCTGATTTGGGTGGATGCTCCTCCAAGATCCAGTGCCCCAAAAATGTTGGCTGCCTCTGGACGAACCCACGTGCGCGCTTTGGGTGAGTACTGCCAAGGCAAGACAGGAGAGGAAGGGAAGCACACGGCTGGTCTTACTTGCCCTGAGCACGGTTCTCATCCCATTGAAGACAATAGGGTTTTGTTACTAAATTCAATGGGTATTCAACTTAATTCTTTCCATAGGGGAGGCCTCCCCTGCCCAACCTGCCCAGCCATTTGTCAGAGCCAGGAAAAGCAGAGTTCAGCTGTCTGAGGGTCAAGATGTGCCCCCGAGCTGTGGGCTCACATGGCTCTGAGTCACCATGCCCATTTCGAAGTGCTTGCAGAGGCTGCCCTTTCTGAGGGGCAAGGACAGAATTCCTCCAGCAGCCTGCACGGGAGCTCCCGGCTGCAGCAGTGATGGGCAGAGAGGAGCAGGAGAGAGCTTTGGATCAGGTCTCCCAGTGCCACACAGAGAGAGCCCTTCCCAGGGCAGTGAGACAGAGCCCAGCAGGAGCCAATGGTCCCAACCAGGCTGCATTGCTGACTCGCTGTCCCAGGAGACCATGTGTCCACACCGTGTGGAGATGTGCCCTTAGCAGAGACAGCCCCATTCCCGATTTCTCCCTCCACAGGATAACTGGCTGCTTCCCCATGATCATTCCCAGCAGCCACTGACCTTTGTCTCTGTGCAAAGTGAGCTTAAAAATCAGAACAACCAAAAATCAGCAAAGATGCAGCAGGGTTTGAGCCTTCTCCCACCTTAGTGAAGGAGTCCAGCAGGTAGTTGATGGTGATCCAGCCATAAGCCCCCTCCTCCTCTCCTGTAAGGATTCGAGCCCCTTTGAAAGCCACTGGGTATTCTTGCATGGTTTTAGTGACTTCAGCCAGGACTTGCTCTGCTGCTGAGCTATTCTGTTCCCTAGAAAGGGCCCAGAGGTCAGGACACATACCCACCTGCACCAGTACTACAAAGGAAGCACCAGGAACCAGGCTGGTTTTTCTCCAGTTCCACATACTCCACTTTTCTGCAACGAGCAGCTTGTGTGAAATGATGCTTCCTGCTACACTGACTTGTCAAGGCTGCTCGTGCATCCCAGCTGTCTATATGAGGCATCACTAACCCAAGAGTAACATCAACCTCTTCCCTCCAGCAGAGTTTGGTCTAGTTTGTGAAGTCACCTTCCCCTACCTAACGTAGCGCTGGAGGTGGGAAGAGCTTGTGCTGCAGAGCCCAGGTTTGAACTGCTCCAAAAGCCCATTGACTGCTCCAGAGGGCTGGTTGCTGCGCTGGGCCTGGCTTCAGACCTCTGAGTGGGGGAGATGTGTGGGGCTGTTGGCATGTGCTCACTCTCTGAAGCGACAAACCTTCAGGCTATGACCAGTTCCTTCCCAGGGAAGGGCTCTCATTGCCAGGGCACAGAAATAACGTAACATGTCTGCAACCGTAAAACCAAGGACCATGAAATGAAGGCTGATGCTTGAAGAAAGCTAATACAGGCTGGTGAAAGGTAATGGGAGATACTGCAGCACCTCATTGCCTCCTACATCTGCCCAGCTCCCCCACCAGCACCATCCATCTGGGCAGATCATAGAACCATAGAATGGTTTGGGCTGGAAGGGACCTTAAAGCTCCTCCAGCTCCAACCCTGCCACAGGCAGGGACCCCTTCCACTGGAGCAGCTTGCTCCAAGCCCCTGTGTCCAACCTGGCCTTGAACACTGCCAGGGATGGAGCAGCCACAGCTTCTCTGGGCACCCTGTGCCAGTGCCTCAGCACCCTCACAGGGAAGAGCTTCTGCCTAAGAGCTCAGCTCAGTCTCCCCTCGGGCAGGTTCAAGCCATTCCCCTTGGCCTGTCCCTACAGGCCCTTGTCCCGTCCTACAGGCCCTTGTCCCAAGCCCCTCTCCAGGTTTCCTGCAGCCCCTTTAGGCACTGGAGCTGCTCTAAGGTCTCCCCTTCAGGAGCCTTCTCTTCCCCAGGCTGACCCAGCCCAGCTCTCTCAGGCAGTGGCTGCTTGCAGGTTGGTCCCTGCTCTGCCACCCTTAAACCCCAGAGCAATACCTCAGTAGCCTCATTCCTGCTGTTGCTCCAAGATAAGCTGGGACTTCCCTCTGTTTCGTAGCAGGAACAACCTTCAGGGCTTTATCCAGACAGTCCCTTATGGAATCACCAGCTTTCGGGGGATCATTGGCATAGCTTGATATACCTTGTCCTGGAAGAGAGTCAGGCTGGGACAGACTGATGGAAACGGCTGAGGACAGGGGTATGGGAGAAAGAGGGCACAGGGCACTGAGGTCTGTCACCTCTTAGCAACAAAGGATGCTTCTGCAGGGTGCCCTGGTCCCCCAGGACCTGACTGACCCATTTCCCTCCTGTGGCTTCCCCACCTCTCCCATGCTTTCTGCAGTGTCCCCAGCTGTAGAGGTGAGACGTTCCCCAGCCAGGACAGCAGCTTGGGCAGTCCAAGTTGCGGGAATGGAAACCCAGAACGCCAAGGTCCATCAGTTCCACCAAGTGTGTGGCACTGCATGGTCCTGAGGGCCCTCTGACCACATGTGAAGCCAGTGGGGAGTCAGGGACCACTCTGCCTGCAGCCAGGGCTCCCCCTGTGCCAGCAGTGCCAGCTCGATGGACAGAGCTGCCCAGCATGGGCCAGTCAGCAAGAGGAAGGGCCAGGTCATCCCACCCACCACACTGACATGCAGGGCAGCACTGAGCCCATGGCAGGGGGATACTGACCATGGACATCACAGGACAAGGTCTGGCTGACCACACCGGTGTCGTTCTCCTTGTCTGAATCCCACTCGTAGACAAACAGAGAGGTGTGGGATGAGCCTGCATCAAACACCATCCCATACTGGAAGGGAAAACCCAGACATCACACTGGCGGGAGGAGCAGCAGCCTCTCCCCAGCCTCACCATGAGCCTGCCAGGGTGGTGGGGCCAGAAGATGCCCCAAACCCATCTCTCCAGGGCTCAGCTAACTGCAGTGTGGCAGAGTTGAGCTGTGATAGCGGCTGGCCTCAGCATGGGCATTTCTCACAGTAATGGAGAAATTCCCCTCTCCTGAGGCTCGTGCAGCACCGTGAGCTCACACTGACTTTTCTGAGCTGTTTCCTCATGCCTTATTTATTTTCTTTCTTGGTTACAAGCCCTTTGTGCCTACACCGGCCCCACCTTGGGGCCAGCAACCCCCCCATCCCCAGTGCTCTCTGCTACCCGTACAGCTGCACCCAGCCTGGGCAGGGACAGGCAGCACCACAGCAGCCCCAGCCCAGGAGCACCCAACTGCACACCTCTCCCACATAAAGCCCTCCACCTCACCCTAAAACTGTGCCAGCCCTCTTCCAGCAGCCAGGGAGGGATGCCAAGCTGCAGGGGATGCTTGTGCTGGGGGTTAAGGGCAGGCTGCTGGGAGCTGGCAGGTACAAGCATCATTAGGAGGTGGTGTGCCATGGGAGGGCAGAGAAGGGCTTTGCTCTACACATCTGCCCCAAGGTAATCCCTTCTAAACATGTCCAGAGCATAGCATAGAATCATAGAATAGTTAGGGTTGGAAAGGACCTTAAGATCATCAAGTTCCAACCCCCCTGCCATGGGCATGGTGGCCAGTTTCAGAGCAGGCTTCCCCCTCTGCCTTGGGAGGTATCCAGGCTGTATTTACTCTGCATCTTGAGATGGGAAGAAAACAACCACCCAGCTACTACCAACCCCCCTTCACCTCCAAACCAAAGACAATGTAGGTAAGGTGCTGTCTCTGAGCACCTGCCCAAGGGGACTGGTCTCTGAAATGATGCTTGGGGACCTTTTTGGGCTTACCTTGACAGTGGGCAGCAGGGAGACATCTTCAATGTTCACCAGGCTGAGAACAAGGGCAATGAGGGAGAGTGCGACCAGTGCCCCAACAATGGCACTGGTGAAGTGCTTCTTGCTCGTGAACATTGTGCTGAAGGCTCCTGCAAACCCAAACACAGGAGAGAGGTGGTTGGATGTGGCCAGCTGGGAACACCAGCAGTCAGTGGGAGCTGCAAGGAGAGCAGCTCAGAAAGCTGCCCCCAGGCTGAGCCTATATGGAGCTGTGCAACTCGGAGATCCTGGTGGATGGTCAGAGCTTTCCCTGGGAGAAACAAAACCAGGATGAACCAGGGGGGTGGAAGATGAGGGGTTGGCTCCCAGCAGCCTGGTGCAGCTGTGAGGGGATCCCACAGTCCCCCAGGTCCTGCACCCGCTCCTGCTCAGCTCATCACTACCTGGAAGGATGAGGTCCAGGAGGAGGGAACGAAGCAGTGCCCCAGACAGAGGGGACCACAGGAACCCACAACCCTCTCAGCACCAGGTGTTGTAGCAGGCGAGGTGATTTTACCTGGAGGATGCAACTAGGCTCAGCTCACCTGCAGCACCACCAGACCCTGCTCCAGGAGCCCCCAGACACTTGGATCCCTCTGAGCTGGCTTTGAGTCCTTGCTGTGGCTCTGGGCTCCTCCACTGCTGGTGGCAAACCCACCCCGCTCTTGCCTTGGTGTCCTCAGGAAGCGGATACTGCTGGGAAGCCTCTTCCCGTTACTGTGTCCCAGACCTCATCACCCTCAGTCAAGACTCCTGACTACGAGTTCTCTTGCTTGTCTCACAGGTGTATTTACAGCTCAGGTTGGCATCTTCCCCACACCTTATCTTCAGCCAATTAGTTCCTCCTCCTCATTTAAATGAAATCACACGGGGAGCCCTGTAGCAGTTAGCACACACCTCTCCTGTTAACCCTTGTCTTGCTGCTGCTTTGTGCCTTTACACACACCCATTTCTGTTCACGTGTTATAAACAGTCTTAATATTTCCATTATGGTCTCTATGAGGTCTATAGGGTTAGGGTTCAGGGTATGGTAATATTTCTGGTATCCAGTGCCCTGAAAACACACACACAGTGGTAGGTGCCTTGATAGTAAGTTTTATTACAAAGCAAGTAGGAAGGAATTAGAAGGAAACAAGAAGGAAAATCACACCAGAGGAGGAGGATGCCCCTGCCGGGGGTCCCAGCAGCTCTGGCTGAGCTTTGCCAGGGGAGGCCAAGACACTGTCATGGCCCAGATGGGACCGTGCTCACCCTTCCCCATGTGCGACCCAGCCCCAGGCTGCTCCTGGCTGGGGATCCCTGCACACACGGGGACACTGAGGAGAGCCAAGGGATGGGGAGGACTCAGGTCCTTGCAGCCTCCCATCGCTCCGGGCTTGCGCTGGGGGCTCATGGCGCAGGTTGGGGATCACAGCCCCAGCCCCAGCCCCTCACCCGGGCTGGGCAGGGCTGGTGCACACAGGGCCTGCTCTCTGGGGGGACCCAGGGAAGCTGCGGACTCAGTGCCCTGAGAAGAGCCTGCAGAGCTCTCACAGGGGCCACCTCCATGGAAGGGTTCAGTTCCCAGCTGCCTCATCTCAGCTGAGCCAGAAGGGAAGCGTGTGTGACCCCCGCTGCCCGTGACCCTCCTGGAGCACCTTTCCCTGTGGCCAGAGGACGGTGGATTCTGAGTCCCCTGTGTGCACAGGAAGCACCACGCTGTGAATGCACAGTCCCTGGGTGCTGCCTCAGGTCCCGTCTATCTGCACCTGCACCAAGCTGGGTGCTTGTGTTGTACCTTGCTGGCAGGGTGGAGGCCTGGAGCCCAGAGGTGCCACTGCTCCTGTATTCCCACCTCCACACAACACTTCACCTTTGGACTCACGTGGCTTCATGGGAAGGGGCTGAATGAGAGCCTGCTACCTTCCCAGGTCTCTGGCTGCACAGTGGCTGGTCCAGAGATGTCCGGAGCCAGGGGACTCATCCCCATGCAGGACAGAGGCACCCATCAGCCCCAGTTCCCCTGTGACACATGGCACTGCACAGTGACTGTGTGCACCCAGAGCCGACCAAACCCTCTGGCTCCTGCCTCCAAACCCAGGCTGTGCAACTCTGGTTTACTTGTCCTGATCCTTCCGTAGCAAAGAAATAGTTCAGAGGTTGTGTGATAACATCCTAACTGCCTCCGGGCAGAAGGACAGGTAATGATTTCCCAGGAGGGAGCTGGGACTCCATCCGCAAGCACCCGGGCCACGGGGCTGCCTGACCTGCTGCTTCTGTCCCTGTCCCTTGGGGTCTGGGTCTCTTTGCCAGGCTCAGCCCTTTGGCAACCCTGCTGCCACCAGCATGGGGCAAGCCCTGCCAGGAGCAGCCCTGGTCCATGTGAGCACAAGGGCAGGGAAGGACAGAGCTGGCTGGGGCTCAGCTGACACCATGCCACGGAGCGTGGCAGGCTCTCCTGGGCTGCCAAAAGAAGGGGAGGATGCAATGGTCTGAATCCAGCCTGGGGCTTGTCCCAGGAGGAGCTGGGGTGCAGCTGGGGCCAGGCACCCAACACAAGCTTTGCAATGCTCCTGGTCCACTGCTACAGCTCCTGAGAGCAATGGGCCCCTCATGAGTGCTGTGGGGAGGACAGTGCACTCAGGCAGGTAGGGACATGTGTCACTGAGGCACACATGGTTCCATCCACACTCTGGCCCTGCCTCAGCGATGTGGTCCCTCGAGGAGCTGTGCTCACTCCAAGAAGGCTGTGGAGCAGCCCCAGGGCTCTGGAGCTGCCGGGAGCCCTCAGCCACCCATCTCCATAGAATAATGGAATGAAGGGATGGTTTGGGTTGGGTTGGAAGAGGCCTCAAAGCTCATCCAGTTCTGACCCCTGCCACAGGCAGGGACACCTTCCACTGGAGCAGCTTGCTCCAAGCCCCTGTGTCCAACCTGGCCTTGAGCACTCCTCAACAGGATGGCAGGTCCGGACTCAGCCCTGCTGCTGAGCTGGGCACAGCCCCTGAGGGCTGGAGGTCGGTACCAAGCTGGGAAGGTGCCTGTAGACAGCCCTGAGCAGAACATGGGCATCCAGACCCAGGGTGTTTGCTCGCTGTGAAGGCAGAGCCTGTGCTGCACCAGTTCCTCTTCACATGAGATGCGTCCATTGGCACAGCAGCCATAGACCTCTCAGCCATGAGTGTGGCCAGCAGACATGTCCCATGCTGCCCTTCTGCCACCTCCTGGGGTCCTGGGTGCCCACCTTCCTCTGGGGAGGCAGGAGCAGGAGAACCAGCATCACCAGCACTGCCCTTGAGCAAACAGCCTGCCTGGGTGCCCAAGGCCTGGGGCAGAGCTGCGGGATGGGCTGTGCCCAGGCACAGAGCACGGGGCACTGCTGGGGCTGGGCTCGAGGAGCTCCTCAGCCTGCCTGAAACCCATCAGAGCCTGCAGGCCCCGAGCTGCCCTGGCCAAGGGGGACCAGGAACCCCCGTTCCCAGCACCCTCTTTTCTAGGGCCCTTATTTCTGTGCTATCCTATAGGCCCCAGTGGGCTGTGGACAAAGGCAAACACAGGGGTGGGAGCCAGGACAGAGGCTTTGCTCGGGGAGGTAAATGGTTCAGCAAGAAAATCCAATGACAGTTAGGGCTTCTTCACTTACATCAGATATTCCTGAGCCAAGTCACAGGTAATGGCTTAATTTATGGACAAAATCCTCCCTGGAAAAGCTTTAGAAGGACAGTGCTGGGAGGAGGCAGGGCATGCTGGGGGGGCAGAGCCCATGAGCCCAGTGGGAGCAGGGGAAGGGCTCCCTGAGAGCCTCTTCCCAAAGCTGCATCCCTAGCACACAGCATCACACACAGCCCCTCCTGTGCCTCCCCCCGGGGGGTTCCACAGAGGCCCCTTGATGAACTCATTAGATAATTGCCTTACATTGCTGAAGGGGCTGAGCACCGGGTCCTTCTCCTTCCCCTTGACATTCCAGCAGGGATGAGGCTGTTTCCCCCCTGGCCCGTGCCTGCCCCAGGCGCAGCCCCTGCCCCGACCGGGCTCTGGTAAGGTGACAACAGCCCAGCCCTGGGTCACAAACAGCATGGCCATCACTGTTCTTCAGCTAGTCCCACCCAAACAGGTGTCTGTCTGGTAAAACACAGGCTGGGCTCGGGGTGACGTGGTGAGTGAGGTGCGGGCTATGGCAGGACCTGGAAGGGCCATCGGGTGCCTGGCGCACAGGAGCACCCGTTCTGACATAGCTTTCCCAGGTCCTCAGTGCTGATGAGCCCCAGCCCTGTTTGCCTTCAGGGACATGCTCTGGTGAGCACTACCTGTGCTATTTGCTCATAACTGAAAAAGGGACCTGCATCACAGAGTGGTTTGGGTTGGAAGGGACCTTAAAGCTCCTCCAGTTTCAACCCCTGCCACAGGCAGGGACCCCTTCCACTGGAGCAGCTTGCTCCAAGCCCCTGTGTCCAACCTGGCCTTGAGCACTGCCAGGGATGGGGCAGCCACAGCTTCTCTGGGCACCCTGTGCCAGCGCCTCATTCTTCTGACTGCAGGTGGACAAATCCACTATGGAGAAGTAGAGTACGCACACACCCCTGTTTGATCTGCTTTTGTCTGTGGCCCTTGAAGTGACTCTTTGAGACCAAGAAGGAAGTTGCCAGGCTGGTGTGGACACTCGGCAGGGTTCGAGCCCAGCCATTACTGCCAGTCACTGAGATGCTGGTGTTTGTGAAATGAGATCACCTCCATTGCTACCATCTTCCCTGTGCCTCCCGAGGAGGAAACACCCTGGCTCAGGATCAAAAGAGAGTCTCTCATTTCGTCACCATTCAATTTCTGCACCACGAGGTCACCCCAGCTCTGGCTGTGGGAGGTGTGGGCAGTGCTCTGTACAGGTCCGTTGTCTCTGGATGAGCTCTATCCCTCACTCCTGGCCCCTGTTCCCCTTCCAGACCCACTCGGGGTCTTGCTGTGACTGGTCCCAGCAGGGACCAGCTTTATCCTGCCCTTCCGTTCCAGCAATACTGGTGGAGCTGGGGCTGTTTAAAGCTGCCTTTGGGATCCCCACACCTGCTGTCCCAGCTGGCAGATAGCACACCAGCCCCTTCCTCCTCCCTCCTGCCTTTCTTAGTATGCACCACCATTAAACATGCCCTAATTGCCCCTGTCTGGGACTTGGTGCCACATCTCAGCTGTGGGTGACCTGGGTCAGGGACATGTGCCTGGAGCCAGCCCCTGTGCTGGCCATGGACGCCCCAGTGCGCTCCCTTCCCTGTGCACAGCTACCGCAGAGCAGGTGCTGGTGGTGGTTCCATCTCCCACAGCACTCAATGGGGCTCAGCACAACGCTGCATCCTCATGAGGTCCTGGGATTAATGATATCAATGGAAGTATCAGTATTTCAGTACTGACAGTGGAGATGGCTGAGTCCTGCAGGGGCAAGCACCAGGAACAGGCACCAGGTCCCTGCTGGGAGCAGGATGTGCAGTCCAGCACTGTGGTGATGGGCTCCATGCGGATGTGCTGGGATGGAGGGCCATGGTGGAGGCCCCATAAGGTGAAGGCTGTTGGATGCTCTGCCACTGTTAACATCTAACTCTAAAGTCTCAGCAAAGTTTGAGAAGCTGTTCTGGGGAATTCACCTTTGCTGCAGCCTCCCTTCCTTCAGCCTCTTTGTTCCCCCACCACCCTGGCTGCTTTCCTCTGGGCTTTCAGCACTTGCTCCACATCTTTCCAAGGGTGGTGACTCAAACTGGACCTGTGCTTTCAACTATTGATGAAGTCCCGATGGTCACTGCATCTCTGCTCCACCCCAAGGATGCTGTAAAAGCCAACAAAGCTAATGCAAGACAAAATCTGGGGTCACTGAGGTCAGCCACTAGCCAGGATGTCATTTGATTTCCAATCCTGACACCTACGTGTTCTCCCTTCGTCTTCCACAGGTGATAAACCCCACTGATCCTTTCTGATCTTGGTGCCTTGCTCTTGACTCCACAACCCTCCGGCAGGCATTCCCCCACCCTGGCTTCCTTCCGTGCCGCTCCCCAGTGTGTCTGCAGGGCAGCCTCTGGGCTGGGAGCGAGCCAGGGCTCTCCCCTCACACAGAGCTGCGGTTGGGTGTGAGAAAGCCCCAGCTGGCAGCAACAAAACCAGACCCAGAGGTGAGATGTTTATCTTTGCCAGAGCCTATTCCAGAGGCTGTTGGCCCAGGTGTATTCCACTGTGTAACAGAGTCTGTTGGCCCAAGGCTTGAGGAGCCTCCCTCCCCATGCCAGGGAGCAGTGGGGAGCACATGGCCTGCACCAGGCAGAGGACAGGGTCAGGGCTGATCTCCTCAAGCTGTGGCCACAGGATTTCACCGAGGGGGATGCTCCCAGCAGCAGTTTTGTGTGGCCACATCTCCCCGGTCCCCAGCAGCTGGGCCAGCACTGGACCCTGCAGGGGTTGAGGACACAGATGTTCTGTTGCAGGACCTGGATGTCCTGGGCCCAGCGGGTGACTCCTTTGCATGAGGAGCAAGTCCCAGGGTAGGATATGGCTGGTGCCGACTGCCAAGCAACCCCCACCACCCCGGCCATGCAGCCCCCCAGGGCAGCCCCCCAAGTGCCACAGTTCAGCAGTGTGTCCCCCTGCATCCCCAACCCCCTGGGAGCTCACCTGACCTCAGAGGAGCAGAGCTGGGACCCTCTGGCCACTGCCTCTTCCCCAGGGCAGCTCCAGAATGCTGGAAAAGCCACTTGCAAGCGGGTGGACGTGGCCCTGTCCCTTTGTCACACCCCACACCTGGTGACACTCTGCTCGCGAGGCTGGGGCTGCTGGTCCTGGGCCCCGTTCCGTGCCAAGCGAGGCTGAAGCGTGTGCTCATCTGTTTGATCTGGGTTTTCCTGGGTCTGCCCCTCTCTGGTGGTTTGGGAGCTGTGGGAGAGTCCAAAGGCACGGAGCAGTCCTCAGGGCAACTCCATGAGTGTCCCCTCCTGACTCAGAGGCTTTGCTGCTTTTCCTGCTCCTCTCCACCATCACCAACCTCCCCCTGTGGTTCTGGTTCTTCACACGCATCAGCAGATGCTGGTTGTCCCCCCTGCACCACCCCAGCCTTGCCCTCAGCCCCATTGCCCCTCACCCGAGACTTCTCCCTTCCCAGACCCACAACAGTGACTGCAGCATCCATGGCCTGTGCACTGGGAGCTACCAGGCACGTTGTGGGCACAACCACGGCACCCAGACACTGGCTGGGCTCACACTGGAGTGAGGTGGAAGTGGACAAGGAGCAGAAGCTGCGCTCCTCCCAGGTGATGTGTCCTTGCTTTGCTGTAGCTTGGCCCGTGCCAGCAGATGGCTGGTTCCAAGTGGACAGACCAGAGGAACATCCAGAACATTACAGCTGCGCCTTGGTGACACTGAGCCTGCGAAAACCACATCACAAGCTGAAGCAGGAGCAGAGGAGCTCCTGTGAGGCAGGTGCCAGTGCTCAAGGCCTGGCACCACCTCAGGGTGTGCCAGGATGGAGCAGAATGTGTGCTCCTGGCCCATGCTTATGGCACAGGACCTCAGTGCCAGCCCAGGATGGGAATTGAGTCACTGGGGACAAGGAGATAAGGACTGAGCCAGGTGCAACCTGAACAGAGGCTGGTGGGGAGCAGGTCACAGTGCACATCTTAACATGTGCCTATAAGAAAGATGGGGAGAGACTTTTCTGCAGGGCCTGTTGTGATAGGATGAGGGGTGATGGGTTTAAACTAAAAGAGGAGATTCAGGCTGGCTGGGAGGAAGAAATTCTTTACAATGAGGGTGGTAAAACACTGGCACAGGTTGCCCACAGAGGTGGTGGATGTCCCATCCCTGGAGACATCCCAGGCCAGAGTGGATGCGGTTCTGGGCAACCTGCTCTAGTGGAAGTTGTCCCTGCCCATTGCAGGGGTTTGGAACTGGGTGAGCTTTGAAGGTCCCTTCCAACTCAAACCATTCTGTGATTCTATCATCAGGGGCTAAGCTCAGCATGGCCCAAATGGATGTCAGCTCATGGGTCCTGCTGGAGCAGGCAGCTGCATCTCCCACTGCTGTCGCGTGACAGCCAGGACGAGCCAGCAGCAGTGCAAAGGGACATTGTCACCAGCAGAAACTTCCTCACAGTTCCCATTCACTTTCTAGAGAGGAAAGAAGCAGCCACTTGTTCATTGGCCTCAGAGCATCTCGCATGGAGATCAGACCCACAGACATGTTCCTGGTGCTCCTCAAGCCTCTGTTGAACGGCTCTGAACTGGAGAGCTGCCTGTAGAGCAGTTCTGCAGCTTCAGATCCTCTCTGCATGAAGCAGCAGAGAGAGTGGTATCAGGAGGAGCTGGGCAGATGGGGCAGAGACAGGGATGGGCCAGGGAGCAGCAGAGCCTGGAAGGGAAGTCCTGGCTCCCACGAGGTGTTTTGTCATCATCAACAGAGTGCAAAGGTAAAACTGCGTCAGAAGGAGACCAGTCCCTGGGCCTGGTTCCAGAGCAACCCCTGATACCTCACACCCTCAGCACCCTCGTGGTGGGAGCCAAGCCCCAGTGACGCTGAGGTGTGACGTGCTGTTGGTATTGAACCCACTGAGCCACACCTCCCTGAGGAGCACAGACTCAGTGACACTTCCCAGGGCCTGGGGACAACGTATCACACCAACACTGGTGTTCACAGTGACCCCCCTTCACAATCCACATCAGCCATGCACCCTCCTGACCCTGTGCCTTGTCCCCAGCATCCCATCTCAGTAGTCATTGAACAGGTCTGAAATACAAAGAAAAAAAAAACTCTTTTGTTTGAAACTACACACATCAGTTCTCTCAGGCTCAGAGCAAGGCCATGTAACATCCTGCAGAGCACTGAAGGCATGAAACAGCTCAGGGAAGTGAAAGACGGAAATAAACTAGCTGTGCCGATGAATCATGGAATCCCAGACTGGTTTGTGTTGGAAGGGACCTTAAAGCTCCTCCAGCTCCAACCCCTGCCACAGGCAGGGACCCCTTCCACTGGAGCAGCTTGCTCCAAGCCCCTGTGTCCAACCTGGCCTTGAGCACTGCCAGGGATGGGGCAGCCACAGCTTCTCTGGGCACCCTGTGCCAGCGCCTCAGCACCCTCACAGGGAAGAGCTTCTGCCTAAGAGCTCAGCTCAGTCTCCCCTCGGGCAGGTTCAAGCCATTCCCCTTGGCCTGTCCCTACAGGCCCTTGTCCCAAGCCCCTCTCCAGGTTTCCTGCAGCCCCTTTAGGCACTGGAGCTGCTCTAAGGTCTCCCCATCAGGAGCCTTCTCTTCTCCAGGCTGCCCCAGCCCAGCTGTCTCAGCCTGGCTCCAGAGCAGAGCTGCTCCAGCCCTCGCAGCATCTCCATGGCCTCCTCTGGCCTCGCTCCAACAGCTCCAGGTCCCTCTTGTGCTGCTGCCCCAGAGCTGGATCAGGGCTGCAGGGGGGGTCTCCCCAGAGCACAGCAGAGGGGCAGGATCCCCTCCCTGAGCTGCTGCTCACGCTCTGAGGGTGCAGCCCAGCACAGGGGGGGTTCTGGGCTCAAGTGAACATCGATGCTGGGTCATGGGGACCTTCTTGTCAATCAAAAGCTGAAGTCGGTGTGGCCTCAGGCAGTGCAGGTGAGGCAGCAGCAGCGGTGTCCGAGGACATTTGCAGCAACCAACCCCCAGATAATCCCCTTTCTCCAGGCAGGAATTTTAAATACAAATGCTTTCTAAGGAAAAAAAAAATAGAAGTAATCCTTCCATGCGTTTTTATTTTAAAATAAAACACTGCCAAACAGTGCAGGGCAGGATGCGCAGCAACACCTGGAGCTGAGTGAACTGAAACGAGGATGCGGCACGGAAGGGCCTCTGGAAGAACCACGACAGTGTATGGCCCTGCAGGGAGCTCAGTGGCAGCACAGAGCGCCAGCACACAGTGACAGCACAGAGCGCCAGCCCCGTGTACCCTGCTGCCCTCTGTACAAACACGCAGCCAGGGGAAAGCCCGCTTGCCGGTCGCTACGAGCCCGCGGGGAGGCAGAGCTGTGCCAGCGGCATCAGTTCACCCGGCAGGCTCGGATCATGAGCAGCTGGAGCAGGATGAAGACGGGCGACATGATGAGCCCGTACCAGAGCTCCCGCGTGTGCTCCACCAGCTTCTGGCACAGCAGCATCTCGAAGACGAACTTGAGGCTGAGGATGGTGAGGATCCAGAAGAGCCGCAGCACGGCCAGGCGCTTCTCGCCGTCCTGGAACAGCCGCACCGTCACGATGGTGGTGAAGTAGGTGCTGAGCCCATCGGCGGCGAAGAACGGCACGAACACCACCCACCAGGAGAGCGCCGCGGCCGCGCCGTCCACCTTCAGCACGAGCAGCACGGAGAAGGCCAGCAGCGCCAGCCCGTGCAGGAAGATCTCGAAGGTGGCAAAGCCCAACCACTGCACCAGCTCCCGCAGCGAGAACAGCATGGTCCCGGCGCCGCGGGGGACATGGGCGCTGCGGGGGACGCGCACACCGCGGCACCACCGGCACCGGACCCGCGGCCCGCCGGGCGCGGCCTGATGACGTCAGCATTGTCGCGGGGTGATGACGTAAGCAGGAGCGGCGGCGCGGGGATGGCGTGTGGTGAGTATGGCGGCGCCGGAGGGCCTGGGCCGGAGGCGGGGGCCGGGGCTCGGGGCCGGGGCTTGCCCCCGGGCCCGCCCCGAGCCCCCGGCCCCCGTCTTCGGCCCAAGAGAAGCCTGAATGCGGGTGTTAGCCCCCTCCTTTGTGCCACCCTTGCAGATGGCAGCACGGAAGCTCCTTGTTCTCTTTGGCAGCCAGACTGGGACGGCTCAAGACACAGCCGAGAGGATCGGCAGAGAAGCCAAGCGGCGGCACCTCCAGTGCACAGTGGAGGCTCTGGACAGCTATGATGTGGTGAGTGGTGATGCAGGGGTGTGCTTCCATCTCCTACAACCCCATTTTTGTGGCACTAGGGCATCCTCGCTGGGGACCAGACCCTGTCTTTGTGCCCTTTCTGAGGGCAGCTTGTGCTTAACTCAGCTGAAAGGGTGGGAGAAGGGAGCGCTGCCCCGTGTCTGGGCTGTACTGCGCTCAGCTGTGCCCTGCATGGTGAGCACTGAGGAGCTGGGGCTGCTGTGCCTGTAGAGGAGGTGGTGCCATGGAGGGCTGTGGGTTTTATTCCGAGCATGGTCTGACTTCATGGTGACCATGAAATCAGTGTGATGTGAGCAGCTTGGGCTCTTCAGCCTGGAGAAGAGAAGGCTGCATGGAGACCTCAGAGCAGCTTTTCAGTATCTGAAGGGGGGCTAAAGGGATGCTGGGGAGGAGCTCTTCGTTAGGGACTGTAGTGGCAGGACAAGGGGTAACAGGTTCAAACTTAAACAGGGTAAGTTTAGATTGAATATAAGGAAGAAGTTCTTTACTGTAAGGGTGGTGAGGCACTGGAATGGGTTGCCCAGGAAGTTGTGAATGCTCCATCCCTGGTGGTGTTCAAGGCCAGGTTGGACAGAGCCTTGGGTGAGATGGTTTAGTGTGAGGTGTCCCTGCCCATGGCAGGGGGGTTGGAACTGGGTCCAGTTAGGGTTGATCTTAAGGTCCTTTCCAACCCTAACTATTCTGTGATTCTGTGACATGTATTTGTAAGCTGCTGACCTGAATGTGCCTTTCCATGTTGTGCCCACAGGCCAACCTCATCAATGAGCTCTTGGTGGTATTTGTGTGTGCAACCACTGGCCAGGGTGACCCCCCTGACAACATGAAGGTAGGAGGTGCTCCTCTCCATGTTGCTTTTACATTCCTGCTCCAGTGATTGGCTTTATCTCTGGAAGCAGCTTGAGCAGTGGTTACTGTTGGAGGGGGGAGCTTTGGAGCAGCACCACCACATCTGGTGTCACTGATGGGACACGACCAGGGAGGTGGTGAGGTTTCAGCAGCTGGAGGGGTGCAGCACGGCAGGAGCTGCAGCTGTGCAGAGCTCACAGCGCAGTGCCTGCGCTCGGGGGTCACCTCTGCAGGAAGCCCCGCTCCCCGCGCTGCTCTGGGCCAGGAGGGAGCCGGGCTGGGCAGAGGCAGGGAGAGGCTCCCTGGCAGCAGCGTGACGGCCCCCGTGTCCCTGCAGCTGTTCTGGCGGTTCCTGTTCCGGAAGAACCTGCCCTCCGGTGCCCTCTGCCGGCTGGACTACGCCGTGCTGGGCCTTGGCGACTCCTCCTACCCCAAGTAAGCAGCGCTGAGGCTCCGGATCCGCTCCTCAGCTCTGGCTGCAGCGGGACCAGAATCACTGGAGAACGAAGGGGTGAGGGGGGAGACAGAGCCTGGGTCTAGAGCAGCAGCTCACACAAAATGACATTGCCTTCAAAATGAGCCCATGAGCCTCCTAATTCCCAGGAACTGGGCTGCTGCCTGTTTCTGTCCTGAGCTCTTCAAGCAGTGCTTTGCTGCAGTGTGTCACGCATCATTTTTCAGTCATTCACTACAGCGATTCTGTTCTGTGTCTGTGCTGCAGGACAGCCTGTGCCACGGGAATTTGGGTGGAACAAGCCAATGGGAGATATGAAACACAAGAGTTTTAGGTGGTAGCCAGACCCATTGGTCCCAGTTCTCTCCCAAGAGATTGTTCCCATGTGCCCAAAAGAGCTGTAGTGGGAGGGATGGGGATGTGCCTGAGCTACATGGGCAGTGAGGGGCGAGAGGGAAGAAGGTGTTTGTCTGGGACACAACTCTCCTGAAGGGAAGCTGCACCTCCCTAAGTCCTGGGAGCTGGGAACTGCCTGAGTGGCCCAGCAAGTGGCAGCCAGCTGCTGGCTTTAGCCTGCCAGAGGGGAGACTGAGCTGAGCTCTTAGGCAGAAGCTCTTCCCTGTGAGGGTGCTGAGGCGCTGGCACAGGGTGCCCAGAGAAGCTGTGGCTGCCCCATCCCTGGCAGTGCTCAAGGCCAGGTTGGACACAGGGGCTTGGAGCAAGCTGCTCCAGTGGAAGGGGTCCCTGCCCGTGGCAGGGTTGGAGCTGGGTGAGCTTCCAGGCCCCTTCCAGCCCAAACCAGTCTGGGATTCTATGGCTCTCTGAGCTGCCCCAGGATGGAGACCCAAGCTGGCCAGGGCCAGGTCCTGCTTGTTGATCTCTGCAGCTGAGCTTATTCTCTCCTCAGGTTTAACTTCATTGCGAAGAAGCTGCACAAGCGGGTGCTGCAGCTTGGGGGCAGCCCTTTGCTGCCAGTGGCCTTGGGAGATGACCAGCATGACTTGGGGTAAGAGCCTAGTGGAGGGGTGCAGAGGAGGGAGCCCTGGGATGCACCTCGGTTTGCCATCCCTGGGGACAGCATCGTGCTGCTCCCACCATGGGTCTGCTTCTGTGCCCCAGACATGGCAGCAGCCTCCTGCTGCTCTCTGTGAACATGCTGCTCTTTGCTGTTCTGTGCCAGGACCTGGGTCACCTCCTTCCCCAGGGTGTCCATGTCCCCCAGCATGTGCAGCCATTTCCTGGCTCTGCCCGAGTCCTGTTCAGGTTGGAGGGGTTTACACAGCTGTACCTGCTACATTGCAGCAGCCTGAGCTGTGCTGCTGCTCTCCTTACATGGGGCAGAGGCTGTGTGTGTCCCAGGAGTTGGTGACTGCCACCACCTGTGTGCAGGGGGTTGGTGGTTCTGTTCAGGCATCAGTGGTTGGTCCACAGAGAGTGAGTGATTGCTCAGAGTGGCTGAGATGTTTCCAGACCTGAAGCTGGGAGGGAATAGCATGGAATGACTGTGTGCTGGAGGCAGAGCAGAGGTGGTTGCCCAGGGGTGGCTCAGTGGTGTCTGGGTGCAGGTGTAGCAGCACTGGAGCCTGAAGGGATGCTGCTGCACTGCTGCAGCCTGACTTTCCCACCTGCAGGCCAGATGCAGTGATTGATCCATGGCTTGTGACCCTATGGGACAAGATCCTCGTCTTGTATCCTCTCCCTCCTGGCCTTGAGATCATCAGCCCCGATGTACGGTGAGTGCAGGGGGAGGCAGGGGCTATTGAAGCTGCCTGGGGTGAGATGCTCTGCTTCCTTGGCTCTTTCCTGGGATGGAGATAAGCTCTGACCAGGAAGCCTCCCCCAAGCAGCTTCTGGGATCCCAAGTATCCCTTGGACTTTGGTCACTGGTGGCCCATCTCTCACTGGATGGGGTGTCCCCCTGTCCCCTGGGTGTGCTGTCCCAGCAGGGTTCTGTCCATTTGGCTGTCCTGACATGCCTCTGCCTATGCAGCCCTGCTGAGTGTGTATGCCCCACCTCCTCCTCTGCCTGCTCTGGAGCCTTTGGGGTCTCCTTCTCCTTGCAGTCTGCATTGTGTTCCCTTGCCCCAAGCCAGCTCCAGGAGACAGGGGTGATGGGTGGTGGGTATGGTGGGCAGAGTTCAGGCCTCTCCCTGCCTCTAGCACTGCAGCAGCAGAGGCGCTGTGGCATGGAGGTAACCACACTGCATTGCTCTCCTCTCCACAGCCTGCCCCCAAAGTACACCCTACACTATGTGGCTGAGGACTCCCCAGAGCCCAGCGGGGTCCTGCTCCAGCCCACAGCACCCAGAGCTGCTCCCTCCGAGCTCTGTCCCTTTGCTGCTCCAGTGGTGTCCAACCAGCGGCTCACGGCACAATCCCACTTCCAGGATGTCCGGCTCATTGAGTTTGATGTCACGGGCTCAGGGATCACGTGAGCATTTTCCTGGCTCCCCAACTTCGCTGGGTGGGATGGGGTGTCCCGTTGCTTTCCTCTTCCCCTCCCCTTTTCCCTAAGATCTGAAGCTGCAGCATTGTGCATGTGGTCCCTGCTGCACTGTCCCCCTACATGGCAGTCAGGGGTGTATGGCAGTGTCCTGCCCAGGGACCAGCTCTTTGCCTTGGCAGGTTAGAGAGCACAACATTGGTGGCGCTGGGAGTTTGGCTGAGATGTGGCCTCTGCCGTAGTGTGGGTGCTGGATGATGGTGCTGTGCCTGTGGCCTGCCCCATGGCTGCACTCAGCTGGTCCCACTGCACCCCCAGGTACAGTGCTGGGGACGTGGTGATGGTGCAGCCCCAGAACTGCCCTGAAGATGTGGAGCAGTTCTGCAAGCTCCTGCACCTGGATCCGGACAGACACTTCGTGCTCAAGCCCACGGAGCCTGGTAGGTGCTGCCCACTGCTCCTCTCCTTCCTGGGGACAGGGCAGCTCTGAGCCCTGCCCCAGCCTGGAGCTCTGCTTTTCCTTTGCTTTAGCCCTGGTTACAGGGAGCAGGGAGTGGCTGATGGACACAGGATGTGTACCTGTCTCACAGTTAAGGGGTTCTCCTTCCCTCCCAGCTCTGAGCACTTCTGCATCCCACGTTAGGGATCTCATGTTAGCGTGACTCCTGGGAGGACTCCAGCAGTGTCCTGCTGTGGAGGATCCTGCAGCCTCCCCACCCTGAGTCAGGAAGCCTGTGCTTCCTTGCCTGGGGCATGCAGGCCTCCCCATTCTGCCCAGTGACCAAGTGCTCACTGCTGGGTTTTTGGCCTGGCAGGTGAACCCAAGAGAAATGGGTGAGGAGCTGGCACAGGGTGCCCAGAGAAGCTGTGGCTGCCCCATCCCTGGCAGTGCTCAAGGCCAGGTTGGACACAGGGGCTTGGAGCAAGCTGCTCCAGTGGAAGGGGTCCCTGCCTGTGGCAGGGGTTGGAAATGGATGAGCTTTAAGGTCGCTTCCAACCCAAACCAGTCTGTGGTTCTATGATTCTAAATTCAGGCTTGGGAGAGAAGCAGGAGGCAAGGACAGGCCTGACACATACCACAGTGCTGGTTATTTCCACTGCACTGTGTACAGGCAGGGTGGGACCCATATCTAAAACACTTGTATGAAGGACAGCTTAACACCAGTGGCTTTCTCTTTTGCAAACCTGTGGGCTTGAAAAGCAAGCTGGGAAGAGCAGGAGGGAGTAGGAGCCCATGGGGGAAGCAGTGGTGGCAGTAACTAAAGTTGGCTCCTCTGGCACGCTCATGCAGCAACCGGGTGCCTGCAGGCAACAGGGCTGCCCTTGTGTGGGTGCCTGTGGAGCTGCAGGGGCAGCAGGCAGGCAGTGCTCTGCATTCAGCCCCCTGCTGAGCTCCTCCTGCTGCCTTCCCTGCAGGGACAGCCCTCCCGGCCCTGCTGCCCCAGCCCTGCTCCATCCGGCACCTGGTCACACACTACCTGGACATCTCCTGCGTGCCACGGCGCTCCTTCTTCCAGCTCCTGTCCTGCTTCTCCACCAGTGAGCTGGAGAGGGAGAAGCTGCAGGAGTTCAGCTCTGCAGAGGGCCAGGAGGAGCTGTACAGCTACTGCAACCGGCCCCGCAGGACCACGCTGGAGGTGAGGCTGCACAAGAGCATGCCAGAGCCACTCTGTGAGGGCTGTGCCATGGATAAAGCACCCAGGCAGAGGATCAGCCATTATTTCTTGGCTGGGGAATTTAATCTACTTCACTGGTGGATTAAGACCTGCTCCCAAGCTGCCTGGGCTCTGTGGTGGGCCCTGTGCTGCAGCCTGGGGGTGAGAGGAGGGTGGTGGGACAGGGTTGGTGCTCAGGGTTAGCTGGGGTGGTGGCTTCAGTCAGGGGCAGTGTGGGACAGCCTCCAACCCCCTGAGAAGCAGGCAGGCTGCCTCTGGGCTGTCCCAGGTTTCAGCAGCCTTGGTTTGCAGGTCATGTGGGATTTCCCTCACACCACGTGTGCCATTCCACCCGAATACCTGCTGGACCTCATCCCACACATCAGACCTCGTGCCTTCTCCATCGCCTCCTCCATGCTGGTAAGATCTCAGCCCCTGTTGGCCTCAGTCGGGTTCTGAGCTGAGGGTCTGGCAGGGCCAGGGCTCACCACTGGAGCTGTGCACACTGTGGATGTTCAGGCTGTACTCTCAGGCCCTCTGAGCACCCACAGCCCGCCCAAACCCCAGCTCTGCTGTAAGCCTGCGGCACCAGGACATACAGGATGTAAACCTCAGGGCCCCACAAATACCAGGGCTGTCCCAGTGCACAGCAGAGGTCTCTTGTCCTTGTCACAGGGAGCAGTGGGATGTGGTGGCACTTAGGCTGGGAGCATCCTAGGTGGTGTGGTCATGGAAGGGGAGTGCTGCTTCCTGCTGCAGCCAGGAGGTGGCAGTGGGACCTGCACTGGTGGCTTGGCACATGTTAGCCCATGTCAGCTGGCATTTGTCCTCCATGGATGCCTCTTGGGTTGGACAGTGTCTCTTGCTGTTGCCAGCTGTGCAGAGCTGTCCTGGGTCCTGTGCATTCCCGCAGCACTGCTTCCCTGGGAAGATCCCCAGAGGGTTTTGAGCCAGGCTGTGCTCCATTCTGCGTCCAAGTGGCTGTTTCAGGCTGGGATAAGGGTAGCAAGTGCACTGGCAGGAGCTGGGCACAGTCTTTGTCTTTGGAGGAGGCACAGGACTCTTCCTGCAGAGCTCTGCTGGGTGGCTTCTTGTTTCTCCTGACTCTTGTCTGGGCACAGGCTCATCCTGACCGGATCCAGATCCTCATGGCAGTGGTGCGGTACAAGACGTGGCTCAGCAAACCCCGCCGTGGCCTCTGCTCTACCTGGTTGGCTTCTCTCAACCCAGAGCAAGGTAATTGTTTGGACTCTGTGAGAATCTTCATGTGCTTGCACAGCACCCAGTGCTGCTCCCATGGGACTGTGGTGGAGCTGTGTGGTGCTGGCCATGTGGTGGAGCGCCACCACCACGGGCAGCTGGAGCATGCGGGCTTGGCAGGATGGCCTGAACTCACACTGACGGCCCTTCCTCGCTGCTCCTGTCCTCTTCAGAGCCTTACATGCTCTTCCAGCTTGCCCTGAACACCCTGAACTCCTGGTTATGTCCCAGCTGTTCTGCCCTCCTGCTCTCAGTGCCCTGCTGTCCCACAGTGGGCTGCTTCTGGTGTCCTGGAGCTGGTAGAGCTCTGGACATCTCTCTGACATAGAGCTCAGACTGCTGGACATCTCCAGCCCCATAGCACCAGCGCTGAGAAGGATGGTCCTTTGAGCACATCTGTCCTGGCCTGCAAAGCCTGTGTATGCTGCTCATCTGCTCCAGGCACAAAACCCCTCCAGCCTGGTCCCCAGGCAAACATGAAAAGCTCATGGGGTCTCCTTGCTGCAGGATGGTAGAGATCTACTTTGTATGACTCCAGGGCAAGACTGGGTCTTCTCAGAGAAGCTAGATGAGGATCTTCACCTCTCTGGCTCCCAGAGGAGGCAGGTTTGGCCATTCCTGACTCGACAGCCAGGCTGAGATCTCTGCTCACCTCCACTGCTGGCATCCCTGTGTGACGAGAAGGCTGTCCCACGGCACATGTACTTCATGGGGTTCACTTAGGTGCTTGCAGAGACAGGGCTGAGGCACCTGAAGTGCTTTTCACACACACCTCATGTCTCCATGGCATCAACGTGCTTGGTGGTGGGGTGGTGCTAAGCCAGGAGCCGCCAGGATCTTTGGAGGGTGGTGGTGGGGAGGTGATGCCACTCGGTCTGTTTGCTTTGCAGGTGATGTCCAGGTGCCTCTTTGGGTGAAGAAGGGGGGCCTGAAGTTCCCATCCAACCCCGACACTCCCATCATCATGATCGGCCCTGGCACAGGGGTGGCTCCTTTCCGAGCAGCGATACAGGAGCGGGTGGCACAGGGATGGAGAGGTGAGGGGTAGCCCTGGCTCTGGGTGCTCCTGAGGGCTTGGACAGGCCCAGGCTTTGCTGTGTTGAGGAGCAGGCTGGGCTCTGGGGCAGGTGAGGACCAAAGCCTGCTGCGTGCAGCCTGTGTGGTTACTCACAGACTGTGCTGCTGTCCTTGGGTTGGGATGGGGCTCTGCAGAGGCTCACTCTTGGCTCCCTGTGAGTAGAGATGGGTTACTGAGCTCATCTGCTGCACGTGGAGTTGTGCCTCTGCCCTTGTCCCGTCCTCATTCCCCCAGCTCAGCTGTGGGTCTCAGCAGGAGGCTGCTGGAGGGGAACATACAGCCCTGGTGAGCTCACCCTACCTGCTCCCCATCTCCTGCTTTACCAGCACTTGGGGACCTTTGGTTGCCACAGGTCACTTGGCTTCATTCTGATGTGGCTCCTGGCTCATCCAGACCAGGGCTGTGAGCTAAACTCAGCAGAGATGAGAGCCACAGGTCCCATGGGCACCACAGGAGCAGTGCCCAGCACTCAGGGTGCTCAGTCCCCAGCACAGCCCCTCTGGTTTGCTCCCTGCAGGGAACTGCTTGTTCTTTGGCTGCCGCCAGAAATCCAAGGACTTCTACTGCCAGGCAGAGTGGGAAGAGCTGGTGGCAAAGGGCTTCCTGACACTCTTCACAGCCTTCTCCAGGGACCAGGTTAGTTCCCAGAGGATGAGGGTGGGTAAAGAAGCACGTCAGGCAGCACTGATGGGACTCTGCCAGTGTGTTTGCCCCTGTACCTGTTGGCATGGCCTGAGGAGAGCCTGGCGAGGTGGCACAGTGGTGACCTCCGTGCTGGCTGGGATCTCCCCAGCGCTGCAGTGCCACTGCCCAGCCAGGACATGGAAAGGTGGCTGGGACAGGGCCAGCAAGCACGGGAGCAGATAAGGGTGAGCAGCTTTGTTTGGCTGGACCACGTGAGGGAGGAATGGCTCCCAGCCTCTCCCGTGTCACCAGGTGCCTTTCTTGGTTGAGTGCCACCCTCCCCACCGTGTCCCTCTGAGCAGTGGCCTTTGTGCCAGCTCTCCCCGAGCCCCAGCCATGAGGAGACAGCTCCTGGAGGTAGGAGCACCCCCACAGCTCAGCCCCTCACTTTGCTCCCTTATTTCCCAGGCAGTGTCTCTGGTGTTTTCACTGCCTTGCCCTGCCTCAGTGCCCTTGATGGCACTGCCAGCTGAGCCTGCCTTTGAAACAGAGATCTGATAAAAAGGGGCAGTGAGAATGGGTATTTCCAGGTAACTCAGCTGCACCACTCCTTTTCTTCTGGCTGTGTGCATGCATTGACATGAAGCCAGCACCTTTTATCCAGTCACTTGCAGGGCATGAATTGCATGCTGCTTTGAAGGCTCTCCAAGTCTTTGATGACCCGGAGCAGCACTGCAGAGGTTTGTTGCGTGACCAGCGTGCCTTTTGTCTGGTGGTGCACATCATGAAGCAGGGACCTGCTCCTCCCTGGAGAACAGCCCCAGAGCCTCCTTCTGCCCTCACAGACGCTGGAGGGACAGGACTCACATTGGAGTGTGCCTCCCAGCCTCCTCTGCCTGCTCCGTTTATCATGAGTCTTCTGCCACTGAGCCCTTGTAGTGCCACACAGGGAGGTGGGCAGGAGCATTGGGCCATTGTGTCTGCAGCTGTAGGAGATACTTAGAGCCACAGGTACAATGGTTGGGGCAGTCCCAGACACAGCTACAGGTTGGGCAGAGAAGTGATTCAGAGCAGCCCTGCGGAGAAGAACTTGGGGGTGCTGGGTGAGGAGAAGCTCCCCATGACCCAGCTTCAGTGTGCACTTGAGCCCAGAAACCCCCCTGTGCTGGGCTGCACCCCCAGAGAATGAGCAGCAGCTCAGGGAGATGATCCTGCCCCTCTGCTCTGCTCTCATGCGACCCCACTTGCAGCACTGTGTGCAGTGCTGGTGTCCTCAACATAAGAAGGACATGGAGATGTTGGAGCAAGTCCAGAGGAGGCCACAAGGATGATCAGAGCCTGGAGCACCTCTCATGTGGAGACAGGCTGAGAACATTGGGGCTGTTCAGCCTGGAGAACAGAAGCTGCGTGGAGACATCAGAGCAGCTTCCAGTGTCTGAAGGGGGCTACAAGGATGCTGGAGAGGGACTCTTCATCAGGGAATATGGCAACAGGACAAGGGTTGATGGATTTAAACTTTAACAAGGGAGATTTAGGTTGGATCTTAGGCAGAAGCTCTTCCCTGTGAGGGTGCTGAGGCGCTGGCACAGGGTGCCCAGAGAAGCTGTGGCTGCCCCATCCCTGGCAGTGTTCAAGGCCAGGCTGGACACAGGGGCTTGGAGCAAGCTGCTCCAGTGGAAGGGGTCCCTGCCTGTGGCAGGGGTTGGAGCTGAATGAACTTCGAGGTCCCTTCCGACCCAAACCAGTCTGGGATTCTGTGATACCACAGCCATGAACTTGTCAAAACCTTTGCTTTCAGTAAGGCTGGCAGGAGCTGGGATGCCCCATGCCTGAGCAGGATTCCCCTCTCCATAAAGTCCCCTCTGCAGTGACGTCCTGTCACATCACATCTCCCCACGTGCAGCCTGATCCCAGTCTAATGCAGCTCATTCCCAGCAGGATGCCCTGGGGTTTAGTGAGACCTGGGTTTGTCACTGGGTGCTCTGGTTTCTGGGAGCTGCAGCTCCTGAAGTGACCCTCTTGGAGCCCAACCTCGCTGGCAGAGCCTCCATCAGCACTTCAGGTTGATGGAGCTGGAGCTGGAGCTGGGCTGCTGGCAGCGCTGGTCTTTGGGATGGGCTCTTTCCCCCCTGCAGCACCAGCGCCGAGCGGGGCTGTGCCCGGGGGTGACCTGAGTGCAGTGGAGCTGTGTGGGACCCGCTGACGCTGCAGTGACAGCCTGGCTGTTCCCACGCACACCTCCTGTGCAGCACACAGGCAGCCTCAGGGGCAGCAGGAGCCTCCTTGCCTTTGGGCCTGGATGGGCTGGGAGGAGGAGGTGGGGTGGTGGCTGCACCAGGGCTGTGCAGAGCCCCGTGTGATGGAACACGCGGCTGAGGGCCTGGCCTCCATCACAGTGTCACCTTTGTCATGGAGGAGCCAGCAGTGAACTCAGGCACGTTGGCAATGGTGTTCCTCTTGGGCAGGAGCCAGGGCTGTAGGCAGTTGCTTGGATGCATGGAGTCTTGTGGATTAACCCTGTGGGAACTCTTCTCATCTGGGCTGTGCTGTGCCAGGAGTCCCTAAGCCCAGTCCCTGAGCACAGCAAAGGGCAGGGAGTGGGGCCAAGGCCACCACTTCAAGCTTTCTGTCCTTTCAAGCTGGTTCCGGTCTCCAGGAGCAGCAGCCAAGGGTGTGGGGAAGGGTCTCTGCCCTGCAGCAGCCTTGGCAAGGGGGTGCGTAGGTAGGAGAGGTGAGGGCAGGAAGGGAGTCCTGGTGGGGACTCTCACCAGAGCTGGAGCAGGCAGGAGCAGCCGGAGGATTTGGGGGTGCTGCTCGGGACATGTTCTCCACTGAAGCTCCTGCTGCTGCACCCGTCTCCCAGCACCCCATTCCCAGTGCACTGACATTAGGAGTGGGGATCCCTTTCCCTGTGTGACAGTTCATCCAACTGCTCCTCCCAGTCTGTGCTGCCCTGAGCTCCTGCAAATAGCCCCTGGGAACAGTCCCCAGGATCAGGCAGGCATGATGGGGCTGGAGCTGAGGCGGCTGGCAGGGCTGGTGGGCTCAGCACTGTGTTTCCCTGCAGGAGGAGAAAGTTTATGTCCAGCACCGCATCCTGGAGAACCGCAGGCTGGTGTGGGAGCTGCTGAGCAGCAGGAATGCTCATGTCTACCTGGCTGGGTGAGTGCAGGGGATCAAGGGAGCAGGGGTTCATGTTGCTGCTTCCCACCTCCCCAGAGCCATTCTCAGCAGGTCTGTAGAGCTGCAGTGCCTGCTGCAGAGGGACCAGCCTCTTCTCTGCATGTCCTGCTCCACAAGCCCTGGGCTTAGGGAGCCATTTCTCACCTGCCCTGTGCTCTGATGGGGAGGGGCAGAGCTGCAACCACGGTAAAGCTGCTGCAGCTGATCTTGTGTGCTCATCCATCCAACTGCCAGCACCCATGATGAGCATCATCCCGGCAGCTGCCTGGCCTCTGAGCATGGCAAATCCTCGGCCTCCTCACACCCCCTCCTCCAGCAGGACCCAGTGAAACCGGAGGAAAAGGCCTGGGTGGTTGCTGCAGCCACTTATGTGGGCAGGAGGCTTTTAAAGCACAATCTACCAGGGCTCCACCACTGCTGGGGCGTGTGAGCAGCAGCTTTGGGTACCCTTGGCACATTCTGACTTGCTCTTTGCACCCAAAACAGTCTTCCTGGGACAGGGACAAGCCATGTTGCACGGCAGCCTGCCTCCTTTGACAGCACAATCATTCACCAGGCTTGGGCTGGTTGGAAACCTTGGACTGTTGGCCAAAATGTGGGGCCTTTAGAAGCAGAGCATCTGCAGCTCCGTTCCTTGCTCGTTGGCTCTTTTCCTGGGCAAAGCCCTTAACCTGCCTGCCCTTGGTGCTGCCTGTGTGGCTGCAGGGAGGAGGCTGCTCCCTGCTGCCTGGGGTGAGGGTTGTGAAACGCTTTGGGCTCCTCGAGCAGGTGAGAGGCTGGGGATGGTGCTGCTTGTGCACCCCATGACCTGGGAAGCGCTGAGCAAACCTGGGCCTTGCTGTCGACATGAGCAGCAATTGCAGGAGGCTCTTCCCTGCCTGTCCTCCACGAGAGCAGAAACTTCCCTGGTGCCTCGGGGGGGTGGGACTGGCCCCAGTGCATTCCTGGGAGAGGGAGGTTCTTGGTTACTGCCCAGGAAGTGAAGGCCCCTGCTCTGCTGTGCCTCGCTGCTCCACAGGGCTTCCTGGGGCCCTTACCCCAAACCAGGCATTCCTTCCCATGGAGCTGAGGTTTGGGGTCATTTCCTCCATCAAGCTGCACTTGGGACCTGGGGTTGTGCCTCCTTCCACAGCCCAAATGCTGAGACTATTGGGCAGCTGTTCTTTTCTTCCCTTCCTGTGTTCTTTGCTACTTTCTGGTGCTGCTGAAGACACCCTGGGGACAGCCAAAAAAGGATCAGTGTCTTGGAAAGAGCAGGGCTTGCACAGCTCTCCCCATTGCAGGCATTGGTAGTGGCCATGAGGATGGTGTTTTGGACAGCAGGGTTGCTCTGAGACCCATCTTTGTCCACAGCATAGGGTAGCCTCAGCCCCAAGCAGGTGGGTGAGACTGGCACAGGGTGCCCAGAGAAGCTGTGGCTGCCCCATCCCTGGCAGTGTTCAAGGCCAGGTTGGACACAGGGGCTTGGAGAAAGCTGCTCCAGTGGAAGGGGTCCCTGCCCGTGGCAGGGGTTGGAGCTGGGTGAGCTTCCAGGTCCCTTCCAACCCAAACCAGGCTGGGATTCTGTGATCTGAGAGCCTCACGCTCCTTGTACAAATGCCAGCTGTGCTGTTCCCAGTGGGCACTTTCCTGTCCGTCCTGACCAGCCCACACCACACTGATGGATACCTGGGATCACAGTGTCCTTCCGTCACCCACAGACTGACTTCCCAGTGGGATGCCAAGCAGGAAGGTGCAGGTGGCCTGGCCTCAAAATGGCCTCTTTTTCTCCTAAAAATAGTATTGGCAGTCTCAGCCTCGCCAGGAGAAGATGGCAAAGTGGGTCCTGGGCTGCGTGTCCCCGAGCACTGGCCCTGGCCCATGCAGCACAGTGGTTTTGCTGCCAGGGCCAGACTGGGGGGAGCCAGGGCTGGATCTTGTCTATGATTGTGCCCAGGGGCAAAAGGGTTGCAAATCTCCCTTATTTTTTTTCCTGCAAAAACCCCAGCTATTTGACATGTTTTGCATCCCAAGCCCAGCTCCATGATCTTGGACCTGCATATTGGTGCCTGACTCAGAAACAATGCGACTTCCAAAAAAAGAAGACCTCCTTTCTGTGTATTTTGGGATGTTAATCAGCTTCAAAAGCAAGTCAGAGCTCTGCCTTGTTCCTGGGGCATAGCAAGGACGTTACCAGCTGCTTGTGCCAATTGGAGCAGCCTGGGAAATGTTTTATTAGCTGTTTTTTTTCTCGCACAGTCAGTTCATCAAATGAAACTCTCTCCAGGAAAAAAGTCTGAATATCTGATTTCCCATGAGAACTACTTGTGCTTGGAAGAGCTGGATCCTGTTTGGGTATCTTCTACACAGGAGCTCACATTTTCTTCACCATTTCTCTTTATTTGGAGGTTTGAATTGGCTTTGGTTGCAAATACCAGAACAATCACTGCAGATCTCTTGCAAGGAGGTGGCAGATGATGGATGCGGCTGCTCCTTCACAGCAGTTGTCTCGCCAGCTCAGTATCAGGCACGTTCCACACTGAGTGTTTCCTGAGATGAAAGGATGGTTTCCTGTTCTCCCACTGATAAATTACACCTCGTGCATATTCCTCATGTCCCTCTAATGAGCGTGATAGGAAATGGAGCAATATGGGGCCACAGCTAAGGCTCCTTTGCCATGTCTGTGCCTGCAAATGCCACCACTGAGAAGTCCTGTGTGGATGATGGTGCTGCTCGCTAGGGAATGCAGGAGCTGCTTCTCAAAGCCTTTCATTTATGCAGTGCCAGGCAGCCTGTCTTGCAGGGTGAGGCAGGTTCCCCCTGTGCTGTGTGCTGGGGTGGTGGGTTCAGCTGGAGGGGATGATGCTGCCTTGCTTTGCCAGGGCACTGGGGCTGCAGAACGCCCTAGTTTTCCTGCTTGCCCTCCATTGCACCACCTCTTTCCTCCAGGAATGCCAAGCAGATGCCAGTGGCGGTGGCAGAAGCCCTGCAGTCAGTGCTGCAGCTGGAAGGTGGCCTGTCACCCTCTGAAGCAGAGGAATATTTAGCAGCCCTGGAACGGTCCCAGCGCTTCCAATCTGAAACATGGTCATAAGCCTGGCTCCCAGCCTCCCCCTTCCCATGAACTGTGCCTGAATAAAGGAGCCAGCAAAAGGATCCACGTCCAGCATCATCCTTGGGATGAGATTATCCCAACCAGGACAGGGGTCTGGCAGAGGGAGTGGATTTATCCAGCCAGCCCTCCCCAGTGGCAGCAGGGCCACGGCAGGCAAGGGGAACCCGACTGCTGGGGGTGAGTGTGGTGGGGTGAAGCTGGCTCCCCATGCTGGAGTGGAGGCGAGGAATCTGGTGGAATGCTGCTGGCTGGCTCCTGCGTGGGACCCAGCTGCCATCCCATCCACGTGCTCCAGCTCCCGGGGTCTCCATGTGGAGCGGGTGAGCAGCATCTGCCGGCATCACTACAGCTTGGTGTTGGCGTTGGCTGGTGGTGGTGGTGGGACCTGGAGGAAGTGAGCTGTAGCATGGAGCCTCTCCACCCTGGCGTTAGTCAGCGGCAGCAGCACTTGCTGCAGGAGGCTGCCTTGACAGACCTGTTCCCCCTGTCTGCATCCCCGCCGGCGGGGATGGGCGCAGGAGGAAGCTTCCAGCCCTCTGTTCATCTTCCTGAGCTTGCTTGATGCCAAGGTCTGAGCTTCCCAAATGCCAGTTCCCCTTGAGTTATCCCATTCCCTGGGCACTTGCTCTGCTGAACCCATCCTCTGCCCCATCCTGGAGCTGCTTCCAGGCTGTTCCCTGGCAACCTTGGGCTGTGCTCCATGATGACTGTGCCACTGCCCCAGTGGGGCCAGTGCCACCACCTTCCTACCCCAGTTCAGTGAACTTGGTGCCACTGTGTAAATAGCAATTAGGGCCTAGGACATGAATCAGCTGGGGACAGTCCTGGGACAGGAAGGGACAGTGATGCCACACCACGCCTGTGACCCAGCCGCCATCCCACACACTGGATCTGGGGTGATGGTGAGCAGTGCCCAGGGGCATTGCGGGAGCTGAGCAATGAGCACTGCAGGGAGCAGAAGCAGGGCGATTTTTGGGTCTCCTCACCAAGGAGAGCTCTGCTGTGAGGAGCTGCTGCACTTGCAGACTTGGGCTGGGCTGTGTGTCCCCATGCCCCAGGGCCAGCACAGAGATACTGCATGGCAGTCATTATGCTGGTGATACCGTCCGCTAGCATGGGATGCTCTCCAAGCTACATCCTTCCTTCCAAGCCCTGCAAGCTGCTCATGGGGCTCGGCAAGGCAAGGTGGCCCAGGGCAGGGATGAGCTGAGGGACTTGGATTGGAGCTGGGGAGCTGGACTGGGGCAGCACAGGGCCCGAGCTGGGTGCTGGAATGGGATGGGAGCTGGGGGCTGGCTGGGATGGGAGCTGGGGGCTGGAATGGGATGGGAGCTGGGGGCTGGAATGGGATGGGAGCTGGGGGCTTGAATGGGATGGGAGCTGGGGGGCTTGCTGGGATGGGAGCTGGGGGCTGGAATGGGATGGGAGCTGGGGGCTGGAAGGGGATGGGAGCTGGGGGCTGGAATGGGATGGGAGCTGGGGGCTGGAAGGGGATGGGAGCTGGGGGCTGGAAGGGGATGGGAGCTGGGGGCTGGAAGGGGATGGGAGCTGGGGGCTGGAAGGGGATGGGAGCTGGGGGCTGGAATGGGATGGGAGCTGGGGGCTGGCTGGGATGGGAGCTGGGGGCTGAATGGGATGGGAGCTGGGGGCTGGAATGGATGGGAGCTGGGGGCTGGAATGGGATGGGAGCTGGGGACTGGCTGGGGCAGTGCCCATGGGCAGTGGTATGGGGGGCAGTGGCCACAGAGGTGGCTCCATTTGTGCTGGGCGAGGAGAGGCGGCCGTGGACCCAGCTCCTCCCCGGCTGCTGCGGGAGCTGATTGGCGCGGGCATGGCCGCCTGCCCCGGGCTGCCTGCATTTGAGCCGCTTCCAGAAGCTGACAAACCAGACTGGTCAGAGCCAGCAGCCAGCCCCAGCCCGGCCCGGCCCAGGGCAGCTCCTGCGCCCCGAGCTGGCACCGCGGCAGCACCCAGCTCCTTGCCTTCTCCTCCGGACTGCGGCGGGTCAGTTCTGCATCGGCGCTGGGCAGGAAGAGGAAGAGGAGGAGGAGGAAGTGACTTTTGGATGCTCACGATCACCTCAGCTCTCGGGGTGGCCTCTCGGTGAGGGTGATGGGTGCACACCCTGCTTTGGGGGGTCCTGACCTGTCGGTCTGGGAGGGAGCCCCAAATCGTGCCGGAGGGATGGCGGGACTCGGTGCAGACACTGCTACCCTTGAGCCCTCGTGGCAGCCGTGCTGAAGGCCGCGTCCTGCCCTGGAGCAGCACCCACAGCCTGCACCCAGCCCGGAGGGGACCCAGCGGGTGTTGCTAAGGGGGTGCCTGCTTTATGGCTGACCCCATGGAGCCGGCAGCAGGCGAGGAGGCAGAGCCTGGCCCACAGCCGGTGCAGGCACCAGGGGAATGCTGTGCTGAGCAGCAAAGCGAGACTGAGGGCTTGGGGGGTCCCCAGGACCTAGCACAGCTCTGCAGAGAAGCTCCCACTGCTACCTGGGGACACTGGAACTCACCGCCGGTGCAGGATGCAACAGAGCCTCTCCTGCCCAGGCACGCTGAGCCGCCTGCCCACACTGCCACCCTGCCAGCGGGGCATGACCCTCCTGCTGCTGCCAGCCCCATCCTGCCCCATGCGGAGAGCCCAGCATCGTGGAGAGGTTCCCCCAGTCTGGAAAGTGCCTCCAGCTCCATCCTGAGCCTCTCCATTGAGGAAAAGCAGACATCGAGTGACGAGGCGGCAGCAGCGGAACCGTGCCACATGCCGGCAGGTGGCGAGGACGAGTGCCCCATCTGCACAGAGCCCTATGATGAGCAGCGGCACAAACCGGCGCTGCTCAACTGCAACCACGGGCTGTGCCGCGCCTGCCTGCGCACCATCATGGACACGGCCGCCAGCGCCGAGTTCGGCCGCGTGCGCTGCCCCATCTGCCGCCAGAAGACCCCCATGCTGGAGTGGGAGATCTGCAAGCTGCAGGAGGAGCTGCTCCTGCTGCACGCCCAGCCCGGCTCCCCAGGGGCCCTGGTCAGCCCCCGGCCCCCTGCCCTGCCACCGCGGCGCCCAGGCCTCGCCGGCGCCCTGGAGCATCGCTTCCACGTGCGCTTCCACACCAGCCGCATGTTCGGGTGCCTGCCCTGCATCCGCTACCCACCCTGCCTCATCCGTGCGCTGGCGCGGCTCGAGCGCCGCTGCCGCTGCTGCTACCTCCTGCTGCTGGTGTTGCTGCTGGTGGCAGAGATGCTCAGCCTGCTCCTCATTTTCCTCCCCGTCCTCCTGATGGTGCTGCTCTTCCTCATCCTCGACAAATAAGCCTCCATGAGCCATGCCTGGGAAGAAGAGGAGCACTACTCCCGCTTCGCCCCTGGGGTGAAGATGCCAGGGTGGGAGCACGCCTGTGAACCTGGATGCCCGGATACCCTGCGCTGCCAGTGAGCCCAGGGTGGTTGAGGCAGCAGAGGTGGAGCGGGCAGCTGAGGGAGGTGGTCCTGGAGCTGGCCATCACCTGCATCCCACCAGGCACCAGGTGACACAAGACGGCAGCAGTGAAAGGGTGGATGGAGCAGGAGGGCACATACTTGGCATGGGCTGGGAACCAGAGGGGCTCTGCGGGCAGAGCAGGGCTGTGCCCCATGGGGGCTGTGCCAGGGGCTGCACTGCCTGTGTTGGGATGGATGGACTGGGCTTCCCCAACATGGACTGGAAATACAATTGGCATTTGTGTCATGGCTGTGCCCAGCTGAGTTCAGTGCTCGGTCCAGGTTGAGCATGTCCCTTTGGAGCCCTGCAGTGACACAAGGAGGGGATGGGGACAGCCAGTGGTCTCCAGCCACCCTGTGAGAAGGTGCTGGCCCCACCACGGCACCTCCCAGTCTGCTGAGTGGTGCCAGCCCGTGCTCATGCCTTGCTCTTCCTGGCGATAAGAGAGCAAACAGCTCGGTGCTGGCAGCCAGCTCCAGCGGGCACTGTGGCTGCTGGGAGGCAGGAATAACACAGAGGTGAGCAGGACGTGGGCTCTGCTGCTTGCTCGCAGCTGGGGCAGTGTCCTAGCCAGGGGATGCGCAGGCCACGGCACATCTCCTCTGCACCCTTGTTCCTCGACACACTGCAGAGCACAGGCCTGGCAGATACTGGTTGGGGGCACTTATACCCTGAGAGGATGGGAACAGCGGCGGCTCCAGGCTCTCTGCCACCCTTGGGCTGGTGGTGGGTAGCGGGGAGATGTCAGAGCCCCGAGATCCCAGGGAGGGGTCAGTCCCTGCAGTGCTGGCTCTCATCCACAGCCTGGGCTGTGCTGCTCATTTATCACCACCAGCCCCCCCTTGGTGCCCTGCAAAGCCCCACACGGCTCCTGTGCCAAATCGCCCCCCTGTGCTGTCCCCCCTCCCTGTGCCTGGCTCCGCTGTGCCCTGTCCTGCCCGCCTGTGCCAGGGTTGTGCAACGGCTGCATGTCCTGGCTTTGCCCTTCTCCCTTGCTGCGGGTGCTGCGGGCACCTCCCCAGGGCTGCGGCTGGGGGGGGACCATGGGGTACCCCCAGTCCCCCTTCCCCTTCCTCCAGCAAAGGTGGGGAGCCAGGGGTGCTGCCCTGCCCACAGAGCCCTGCAGGAGCCCTTGTGCCCATGGGGGCAGAGGTCTGGGCTGGGGGATTTGCCGGGGCACTTGTAGCATCAGCTGTGCCATGGGCTGCTCCAGCAAGAGCCGAGGTGCCGCGGGTAGCAGCAGGGCACCCCAAAACAGGCCATGCTGGGAGGCGCCTGCAGGCAGGCTCCCCCCGGCCCCCGTGGCACTGAGGAGGATTTATTTATACCAAGTGGAGCAGCTCCATCGGGAGAAGCCCCAGCTCTGCCCTGGCCAGGGGCATTTTCAGCTCAACAGGGCTGGGGGGCCTCAGACACCCGGGGTGGGGGGGCTGCCACCAGACAGGAGGCCTGGCCTGTGTCCTGCTCTACATTACATGGGGGTATTGTGGGCTTTTGGGCAAACCAGGCCAGAGCTGTGCCCGCAGGGACACGATGGAGCATGGTGAGCCCTTTGGCACGTGGCTGCTGGCTCCCCTTGGGGCTGGAAGCTGGAGAAGGACACCCACATTCCCTGGGGGGCTGTGGTGTGGGACCAACCCCATTGGTGATGCAGAGCCCAGGGGTGCTGCCACAGTTTCCTGGGTGCACAACGGGCTGGGTTCAGTGTCTGCTAGCAAGGACTTGGTTGTATTTAATGTGCAGAGATAGCGGTGAGAGGCACCAGCACCAAGAGCTGCAGCTCACAGCAGATGCCCAGAGCTACAGAAGACTGCAGGGCACGTCCCTGGCACAGCATCCCCAGAGCCCCACACATGCACCCTCTGGTCCCTCACAGTCCCCTTGTACCCCCACTGAGCACCGCACCCCCCCCCCCCAGCAGCCATATGCATGCTGTGCACACCCCGCTGCAGCCCCCATCACCCTCCTGCAGTTCCTGCACCCCAGCCTCACCACACGCACCCCTGTGCAGCCCTCATCCACCTCCTCACCAGTCCCCCCAGCTCTCCTTTGCTGCACCTCAGTTGCTCCATTTCAGCGTGGAGCCCTTTCCCCCCCCCCCCAGCACAGACTCCAGCACAGCCCCCCAGATCCACCCCATCTGCCCCAGTGGCCCTCGCAGCCCTCCCCTGACACCCCACACAAGCCCCTCACATGACATTGCATCCCAAATGCTTCATCCCATCTCCCGGGTGCTGGCATAGGAGGGTGATATCGTGTCCCCAGACCGGTGACATTGGTACCCATGCCCACAGGGCAGGGACCTGCCCATTCAGGGCTCTTTGGGGCTGGATCTCCTGCTGCAGCCCTGTGTCCTGTGCCTGCAGCCCGGGTGACCAGCTGTGCTCAGCTGGCAGCAGTAGAGTGTGCCTGGTCTCAGCACAGGGTAGGCAAGGGTTGGGGGTCAGCTTCCATCCAGCTCTGGTCAGAGGCGTTCCCACCCCAAACAGCAGCATCTCCCCCATGACCCCCATGCTGGGGCCACACCAGCACTGTCCTCATCCTGCACCCACGAGAGTGAGTGCAGAGGGATGGTACGGAAGTGGTGGGACACTGGGAGCAATGTTTGCACCAGAATCCAGCCTGGAACATGGAGCTGGGAGTGAACCCAGTGGGTGCTGGTGCACTCCGCAGTCCCTCCCCAGCCACGGGGCCGGCATTACCCTTGGGACCTGCAGCCTCTTGGGTTCTGTGCCACGCTCCATCATCATCTCACCGTGGGATTGCACCTCATTGTGAAAGGCTGGCGCTGGCAGAGGCCGTTGCAGCAGCTTCCTCTCTGCTCAAACGGCTGTTCTGAGTGTGTGACTGCCCTGGCTGAGGTTTCGAGGCTGCCTGTCCCCAAGGAGGGCACAGCCCTGGTGCTTGGCCACAGCCCAGCACAGCCCCGCACTAGGGCCAAGCATCCCCAGTCTGCAGCAACAGGTGCCATTGTGCAGCCTCCCGCTGGCTGGAGGGGCAGAATGGGACTGGTGGGGCTGGAAGCCTGGGGACCAGCCTTGGGAGCCAGTCTGGGGAAGAGTGGCTGGGAAACATCATCCCTGCACATGTGCCAAAAGCAGACCCCAAACCAGCAGAGACCTGCCTGTTCCTGGCACATCCCACGTCTAAAATGAGGGTGTTTGGGAAGACTCATTCCCAGGAGCCATTTCACCCCCCAAATCCCCTCTCCCATCATAGACCAACCTGGGCACTGGGAGGACCCAGAGCTTCATCCCAGCCTGGCAGTGTCCAAGGCCAGGTTGGAGCAAGCTGCTCCAGTGAAGGTGTCCCTGCCCATGGCAGGGGTTGGAGCTGGAGGAGCTTTGAGGTCCCTTCAACCCAAACCAGTCTGGGATTCTGTGCATTTATGATTAGATTTTGCAACCAGCTCATCTGGGAACATCTGGGAGCATCTTTGCTCACACGTGGCCAAACCTGCTCCTGCAGCAGCCATGGGAGTGTTTCAGGGCTTGTGATGTTGGAGTGACTTTGACAGACTTTTAGCGCACCTGCAGCCACGATGTGAGCGCTGGCACCGTGTCCTGTCCCTGTCTCCCCCAGCACTGCCAGCGAGTGCTCATTTGAGGTTAATAGGGCTGGAGAAATGGGCTGTCACTCAGCACTGACTCCTGAAAGGCCCCATTTTTTTCTTTAATTGCAACTCAAAATCAAATTAGCACTTTTAAATTTACTCTGTGCCCAAGAGGTACTGGGGGGGCGGGGGGGGAGGACACACTGTACCCTTCAACTTATGTAATAAAAAGGGTAAATTCCTGCTTTGAGGGCAAAATTGCTGCCACCCCTGCTCTGGCTGACCCATTGCTGCAGTGTCTTTAGGGCCCCACAGATGGAGATGCGCATCCTGGAGTCAGGATGAGGCTTCAGGGTGATGGCGATGCACATCCTGGACTGGGGCTGCCCCAGCTTCCTCAACAGCCACACCATGGGGCTCACTGTGGGGAAGCTGTGAACACCAGGAGCCCCTGGCTCTGTGGCCAGAGCTGTGTGTGTGCCCCCCACATCCATGGAGGATGGTGGGGATGTGGGTGCAGACGTGAGGAGCCAGGTCACGGCCACAGCATGCTCAGGACCAGGGATGGTACCGGCTGCATTACTGATGCTGCAATTCAGCACCCCTGGGTTGGGATTTGGGTTTGTTTTCCAGACGTAAAATCCCCACTGGGGGGGAACCAGCACTCGAGGACAAGGGGGCCGCAGCCGCCAGCACCTCAGGGATGGGACTGTCCCTTAGGGCTCAGCTGTGAGCCAGGAAGCACCAGTGCTGCTCCACAGTGGCCCATAGCAGAGGGCAGGGACAGCAGCTGCTCCAGAGGGAAGGAATTTGGGGCGAGCACTGGGTGGTGGGGCTGTGCCTGCACTGAAACCTCAGTGTGCGCACACACACCCCCTCCGCAGTGCACACGCATGTACACACGTGTGCACACACAGCTCACACCCCATGGTGCGCCCAGAGCATCCTCCTGGCTGTTTCTGCACCCGCCTCTCCCAGCAGGAGGACTGCAGCCACCGGGCCCATTCAGTGCAGGCAGCGGGAGCTCCCCCTGATACATGTGCCAGTGATGCCGGGTGCATGCCGGGCTCCAGGGTGGCCTCTGTGTGCTGCTGGGGATGGAGTGACAGCGCTGCCTGTGTCCCTGCCCAGTGGGTGACACTCGGGCCAAAATGGCAAATCACCCCCCATTTATCTCATCACTCACGAAGGAACGGGCCATCAATGGGTATTTAAGAGCCCTTGGTGTGGTTGGGGTCTGCTTGATAGAGTGGGCAAGGTACCCCATGGTTCCCAGCCACATGCAGTGGGACCAGGGACTGGGCAAGAAGGGGATACAACTGCATCAGAGCCGAGAGCCAAGTGGGAGAAGAAAGTGTCAGTCCAGCAGAAAGCACTTGCTCTGGGTACCTCCACACAATATCCTTTGGGCCCGTAGGGACAGGCCAAGGGGAATGGCTTGAACCTGCCCGAGGGGAGACTGAGCTGAGCTCTTAGGCAGAAGCTCTTCCCTGTGAGGGTGCTGAGGTGCTGGCACAGGGTGCCCAGAGAAGCTGTGGCTGCCCCATCCCTGGCAGTGCTCAAGGCCAGGTTGGACACAGGGGCTTGGAGCAAGCTGCTCCAGTGGAAGGGGTCCCTGCCCATGGCAGGGGTTGGAGCTGGAGGAGCTTTGAGGTCCCTTCCAACACAAACTGTTCTATGGTTCTATGATCTCTCCCCCAGCTCACCACATAGACCAAGGTGCAGCCCTTCTCCTGCCCACAGCCACGTGCCCCTCGAGACACTGCTCACCATTCGTTCCAATATAATCTTTATTGGGGAGACTGATGGGGTTAGATCAAGGCTGGGTATAAAACATGATCATCATCACAACCAGCAGCGGGAGGCATTGGCAGAGCAACACGGAATCGGGATCGGCCCTGTTCTGCACCGGCAGCGAGTGGTACCTGGGGCTGCACCGGCGGCATCGCCCTATCCCTCGGGATGGGCAGGGGGGGTCAGTTCAGCCCTGCTCCCTGGGCGGATGCTGGGCTTCAGCCAGTGCTGGGAGCTGACGCTGTGGGGGCTCTGCAGGGCCCCTCTGGCTCGCCCAGCCCCAGTGCCCCTGGAGCCGGGTCGCGGTGCTCGGCCCCACAGGAGCACCCGTGAATTATGGCTTTTGCTTTAATTCTTTTTTGCTTTGTTGGCAGCAAACCTGCGCCTCCAGGTGCCTGGAGGAAGCAAGACTGTGCCCAGGGGCCTGCCGCCCTGCCAGCCCTCTGCACAGGGGGCAGAGCAGAGGTGAGCTCCAGGGAAGGGACCATGGGCAGGAGCCAGATCTCTGCCCCCCCTCCCCAGCCAAATCCCCTCACTGGAGCCAGCAACCTGGGGAACAAGACCCTGAGCCACCCCCCTGGGCCATCCCATGGGGCATCAGTGCAGAGGAGCGGAGAACAGCCACGGCTCAATGCCTTTGTGAGTGTGCAGTGGCCTGGGATGGGGCAGCCAGGGACGGAGGGGTCAAAAACAAGAATCCTCCAAAACGAGGATAAAGTGGAGCTTTCCTCAAGGGCCTGTGGAGGAAACGGGCCGCGTGTCTGCTGGCAACCGAGGGGCCGGTGCGGCGCTTGGCGTGGCTACAACGACTCGGGTGCACGGCGGCTTGGCCGCTGAGATGAAAGCTTTGGCAAATAACTTACAGGGTGTGGGGGGGACAACACAGCGGGGACCCGTCCTCACCTCCTGTGCTGCGCAGGTGACCCAGCGTGGCACCGTGCACCTCCTTGTGTGGGGCGATGGGGAAGGTGTCGCTCTGGCTGGGACCCAGTGTCCACTCTCAGGAGCCACAGGGAGAGAGGAGGGAGAAGGCGGCTGGGGAAGGAGCACAGTGAGATGCTGGATGCACACTGGGGACACTTGTCACAGGACCAGGGGAAATGGAGCCTCTGGATGCACTGGTAGATGTGCTCCCCATCCCAGTGTCCCTCTCCCCAGGTACCACTGGGGCTTGGGGGGCTGCTGCCAGGTCCCAGCATCCCCATTGCCCCCCACCAATGCTGGCAAGGATGCCGGTCCCACATCCTCAGCTATGGTGAGCATCAGAGCATCCGCTGGGCTGTGCCATCAGTAAAGAAGGGGCTGGGGCCCGGCCGCGGCACTGTGCTGTCCTCTCCCACCCGGTGGTGCGGGCAGGGGCGCGGGGCTCACATGATGGTGCAGGAAGACAGCGGGTTTCGGATGTGGCAGGTACAGGCAGCCCCGCAGTACTGGCGGAAGGTCTGGTAGCAGCTGCGGTCGGTGTCGCTGCTCCACTGGACGGGGTTGGCGGCCAGCGCCTCGGCCGGCAGTCTGTTGAGGATACTGGTGTTGACGGCCAGAGCCGCCAGCCCGTAGTCGGTGAAGAGGACGGTCTCCCGCTTGCAGGTGGGGCAGGAGATGAACTTGTACTTGGGGCAGGACTCGTAGAGGATCTGCAGGCACTCCTCGCACACCGAGTGCAGGCAGGACAGGATGCGGGGCCGCTTGTTGGTGAAGTTGTACATGTGGCCGCAGGTGGGGCACTCGAGGGGCTCGCAGGGCGTCGAGGGGTGCAGCACGTACTGGTTGACGATCACCTCGTCCGACGGCGGCTGCCGGTGGTAGCAGACCTCGGAGCTGCCCTTCCGCTGGCTCTGGTACCCGCGCTCTCGCCGCGGCAGGGGGGGAGTCCGGGGCAGCGGCAGGGGGCCGGGGGTGGCATCCAAGGCGGGGATGTCCCCGCAGGCCTGGTTGACGATGATCTCGGACTCGGAGGGCCACGCGCGCTTGGCCACGAGGGGCGGCTCCCGGCGCGGGGCGGGCGCGTAGCGCGGCTGTGAGGCCTGCAGCTCCGAAAACTTCTCTGGGTGGATGATTTTCATTGCCTCCATCTTAATGATGACCTGTTGCCCTTTCAGACACGACATGAGTATTGTTTTCACATTACTGTCCACTGCTCTGGGGTCTCTGAGGGATGCCTGCATGAGGCTAAAACATGCCGGCAGCCTGATGAGCTTTCAATCTCGGTCTGGCTGCAGAGCAGGAGCACAGGGAACAGCCACTGGCGCGGGAGAACATCCTGGGGATGAGGGGCAGCGCCGGCAGGCCCCACACCCCTCTTCTGCGGCCAGCCCTGAGGGTGTGAGGCCGGGGTGGGCAGGGGCGAGCAGGGCTCACAGCAACATCCTGCCTGCCCTGGAGGATGCTCTTGGGCAGGCGATCAAAGCATCAGCTCCCCACAGCGCCTCGCAGGGATGTTAATGTGACATTGGCCGTCACTCGGCACCCCCGCTTTGCCTCCACTGGCACTTCCCACGCTGGATCAGCTGCACTTGGGAACACTAAATTTGGGTCCGTGGCACCAGGCGCTGCTCAGGGCAGGTGAATCGGGGCAGGGGGGGTCCTGCAGGAACCGGAGGCAGCCCCCGCCTCGCCCCGGCCCCCGCCTCTGCTGGGCCTTTAATTCCTGTTTACGTGCCGTGGGATCGTCGTGGTGCTGAAGAATGTGTTTGCAAATTCCTTTGCTCTGACTTCCCGGCTCTCCTGCTCGCCCTCAGCTGCAGGTCCCGTGGGGCAGGGGCTCCGGGAGCATCCCACGCTGGGGGGGGGCACCTCACCTGCGCTGCTGCCTCGTCCCGTCCGCCCCTGGCACCTCTGGGCCCAGCTCAGCTTCCTGCTTGCTGGAAATGAAAGCAAGAGGGGGTTGGATCCAAGGCTCTTCAGGGACCTGCTGGCTGCAGTGCTCCCTCGGGATGCGTGCCCGCCTGCATCCCGGCAATTTGGCAATTGCTCCCTGCAGGTCCTGTCCATCCGCCCGCATGTTTGGGCTGGCGGAAGTGGGAGCAGGAAGGAATTTACCCCCAGGCATCTCCTCAGAGGCCCCGAGTGCAGGGTCCCGGGTCCCCCCTCTGCCCCGGGGCTGGGAGGATGGTCACTCTGCACCCCACTGGCATGTAGGACCCCTCCGGGGGAGGCTCCCCCCCAGACCTGCCTCTGCTCAGGGTTTTCTCTCACGTTTAGCCCCTCCTCTGCTCAGTGGATCTATTTTTACCTCCGTCGCTTGCTCCTGATCTGTCCCTGCTATTATCCCTCCCTCCTGCTTCCTCTCCCCCTTCCTAGCTCCCTGCCCTTGTCCCGGGGCTGCTGGAGAGGACAGGCCACGTTTGGGGGCAGGAGATGGGGGGCAGGCAGCCAGCCTGTGGCCATTTTCTGCCTCAGCAGCCCTGGCGACAGCCTGTCTCTCCTCCGAGAAGGGCGAAGGCGCTCGCTCTCCTCCATCACGCCACAAATCCTGTTAGAGGGATGCCTGCTCCCGCAGAGCCCTGCCAGGCCTGACGGAGGGGGCCCGAGGGGGCCATCTGTTTGCAGCAGCAGCCCTTGGGGATGGCAAGAGGCCATGGGGGAGCCAACCCTGGATGTCTGAGCACCATGGGGGGCTGGATCCCTGCCCGACCCCAGCGCGGGTGTCCCCGGGGGCCATGCCCTGGCAGCACTCGGGTCCTGCAAGCATCCCTGTGGAGGGAGGCCTCGCGACCTGCATCCCCCACACCTTGCACCCCACATCCCGCACCCTACAAGCAGCTCAAAACCCTCCCCCCCGCGCCCCGCTCTCTGCCCGCAGCTCTCACGCACACACTCACCCGCAGCGCACCGACGATGGGCACGGTGATCCCTGCGCACAACCACTGCGCTTCCACACTCGCACCATCACACCCCTTCATGCACAGCCCCGGTGCAGCCCCACAGCGTACCCCGCATCCCCATCACCTCTGCGGGGACGCGGCCCTTCCCAGCAGCCCAAACGACGCAGCTCCCCCCGCAGCCCGCAGCCCCACGCTCGGCCCAGCGGTGCACACACATGTGCACACATGTGCAGTCCCGCACACCCGCACACGGCCTCACACCCGCGCCTGCGCGCCCGCAGGGTGATGCCCCCCGGGGCAGCCTCGGCCAAAAGCACCGGTGGCTGCCAGTCGTTACCTGCATTGCCCCACCGTGCTTCGGACGGGGGCTCCCGGGGCCGCCGTGCCCCCAGTTTAACCTGCAGACCCGCGCTCCGTTCCCGCAGAGGTTCAGAGGCCCAAGCAGCTAAAGGTTATCTGAAAGGCAGAGGGATGCAGGCGCTGCTCCCCGAGGATGCCCACGGGTCTCCACCGCCGCTGCTTCCCACGGCCCGGCAGCCTCCTCCAGCAGCTTCCCCGCCGACGCGGGGGGGTCCGGTACGGGGCACAAAGGCAGCGCTGGCGGCGCCGGGCTCCCGCCGGCTCCGGATGCTCCGCGGGGACGCGCTGCGGGAGCGGGGGGGAGGCGGCAGGTAGCGCCGGGGAGGCACCTCCCGCCCGGCCCGGGCTCCGCTCTCCCTTCCCGGCTCCCGCCGCCTCCTCCGGCCGCGGAGCCGCCGCTCCGCTCGGGGCTGATGCAACACCGCTGCCGTCCGGGTGCGGGAGGGGGGGCTGCAGCCTGCGGACCCCGCTTTCCCCTCCGGCAGGTGCCGCCGGGCGGGCGGGCTCCGTCCCCGCTGTCCCCGGGGCTCGCGGGCGCGGGCGCTGCCTGCGCGCTCCCGCTCCGCTGCCGCCGGCTCCCGCAGTGCCGCCGCAGTGGTGCAGCCGGCTCACATTTCCCTCGCTCAGCAGCGCCGGGCCCGCCGCCCCGCACCCGCACCCCGCCCCGCACCCCCGCCCCGCTCCGCTCCCCGCCGCTCCCCCCCGCACCCCCGGCCGGGCCCTGCGCGGGGTCCGAGGGGCCCGCAGTGACTCAGCAGCCGCCGCTGGAAATGGCTCCGCGGTGCGGGCTGGGAGCGGGGGGCGATGGGCGATGCTGCTCCGGTGGCAGCGGCTGGGGTCAGCACCAGGGAGCAGGGGGCAGGGGGAAAGGGCCCCCACCAACACCCCCAAAGCTTTTGGGGCTGGGGAAAGGCTGCAACAATGAGGGATGCTCCCCTCTCCCCCAACCCCCCCACCCCCACCCCACCACTACTTTTTCTTGATGCTGAATCCCTCGTGTCCCAAGGGACCCCTAAACCCATGTCTGGGCCTGAGCCCGACCCACAGCCACCCCTGTGGGAGTGGAGCAGACGGGCTCCCCCTATACTGAGGTCAAAACCTGACCAAGCATCCCAATCCCTTCTGAGCTCCAGGGAGGGGGAGCTGGGCACAGGGTCTTACATGTCCCTGGGGATATGGTGGGCTCAGAATGGTGGGGGGGGGGGGGGTCACAACACCACTGGGTCCCAGCAGTGCTCTCGGGTTTCTGGAGAGCACAGACAGGAGAGCATCTTACATTGCCGTATGCTTCCTGGTTTGAGAACATTTGTTGTCACTGGCAGACATAAGCATAAAGGCTGAGACACCCCACATCGTACCCTGGGAGGGTGACTCCTGGTCTGTACTTCATAAAATCATAGAATCACGGAATGGTTTCAGTTGGAAGCGATCTCAAAGCTCATCCAGCTTCAACCCCTGCCACGGGCAGGGACCCCTTCCACTGGAGCAGCTTGCTCCAAGCCCCTGTGTCCAACCTGGCCTTGAACACTGCCAGGGATGGGGCAGCCACAGCTTCTCTGGGCACCCTGTGCCAGCGCCTCAGCACCCTCACAGGGAAGAGCTTCTGCCTAAGAGCTCAGCTCAGTCTCCCCTCGGGCAGGTTCAAGCCATTCCCCTTGGCCTGTCCCTACAGGCCCTTGTCCCAAGCCCCTCTCCAGCTTTCCTGCAGCCCCTTTAGGCACTGGAGCTGCTCTAAGGTCTCCCCTTCAGGAGCCTTCTCTTCTCCAGGCTGCCCCAGCCCAGCTCTCTCAGCCTGGCTCCAGAGCAGAGCTGCTCCAGCCCTCGCAGCATCTCCATGGCCTCCTCTGGCCTCACTCCTCAAATCTTCTTGAGCACTCACGCACTGGGACTAAAACTTGGGGCCAAAACTTCCCTTGCACAAGACTTAACCATTGGCACTTGACTTCAAGGACCTCATAAAGCCTAATAAAAGCTCTAGGAAATAAGATGTTCCAGGCCTTGACTTGGGCTACCGATGATGCACACGTACCTGGGTAGGTGGAGGAGAGGCTGACAAGTGCTGCTGTGCTGGGATGGGGAACGCCCAATGTCACCATTGAGCACATGAGGTAGAGCTGAGCAGAGCCATTGGGGCACCATGAAGATCCCCAGTGTCTGGGCACAGACACTCTTGTTCAGCAGAAAAGATGCCTGATATAATTTATGATTACTTTTAAATAGAGCTGTTGCCTAACTCAGGGCACAGCAGCACAAAGACACCGGGCAGCTGGGTCAGCACGGGGATGCCTCTGAATTAATAACACAAAATGGCCTTTGCTCACTCACTTCCTGCAATTTCCTTTGCTCTGTGAGTTCAAGTATAATGTATTGGTTTTTCCTATCCACACTCAGGAGCATTAGCAGGGAAGTAAGCAAAACCTGACCCAGGGAGGATGGGGAGGATTAAGGGAATCCCTGGTTGACACTGTTAGGGTGCCAGACAGCAGCAGCCTCACACTGCTTTGGGCAGGTGAGCAGATCAAAGCATTACACTTAGAGGGACTAGAGGCAAAGTCATTTCCAAATCCCTAATCCAGTAAGAGGAACTGGAAGATCAAAAATACAACTGCTAATCTTGTCAACAAGGAGGGTGGATTTCCAGCAGAGGCAGCTGGTGAGTGAAGCTGCAAGGTCCCAGGGGGGAGCAACAGTCCAGGTTCAGGCCAGCCCAAGCATGGTTCCTTGCTGCGTTTGGTCATCTCTTCTAGGCCAGACATCTGATGAGGTTTTTTAGCATGGATGAAGCCCCCCTGCAGCCCTGATCCAGCTCTGGGGCAGCAGCACAAGAGGGACGTGGAGCTGTTGGAGTGAGGCCAGAGGAGGCCATGGAGATGCTGCAAGGGCTGGAGCAGCTCTGCTCTGGAGCCAGGCTGAGAGAGCTGGGCTGGGGCAGCCTGGAGAAGAGAAGGCTCCTGAAGGGGAGACCTTAGAGCAGCTCCAGTGCCTAAAGGGGCTGCAGGAAAGCTGGAGAGGGGCTTGGGACAAGGGCCTGTAGGGACAGGCCAAGGGGAATGGCTTGAACCTGCCCGAGGGGAGACTGAGCTGAGCTCTTAGGCAGAAGCTCTTCCCTGTGAGGGTGCTGAGGCGCTGGCACAGGGTGCCCAGAGAAGCTGTGGCTGCCCCATCCCTGGCAGTGCTCAAGGCCAGGTTGGACACAGGGGCTTGGAGCAAGCTGCTCCAGTGGAAGGGGTCCCTGCCCGTGGCAGGCGTTGGAGCTGGGTGAGCTTTAAGGTCCCTTCCAACCCAAACCAGTCTGGGATTCTGTGGTTCTATAACACCTATGGCCAGTCTCTGCTGCAACTCCACTGAGATGACTGGTGATGCCAGGAGATAATTTGACCCTAAATTTCTCCCTCATCATCTGTATCAGCCATCATCAGTTCTGTCATTGAGCACACTCAGGCCTTTACTGCCCTTCTGGATTTATAACATCTGTGGAGGAAGACCCATTCTCACAGGATGTTTCCTTCCTCTCTTGGTGCTTCAACACAACTGGCATTGCACTCTGCTGTCCATGCTTCTGGCAGCAGTACCTGGGTGCTTTTGCAGTGACTCACAACGCCCCCAGTTACCGCTTGCTGAACTCATTGCAGAGTTCGTTTGACCGGGTCCTGCACACATCACCAGCTCTTTCTACAATCCAGCCTGGTTCTTGCCATGCTCGTGTTTTGTGCTGGTGAATCACTCAGCACACAGAGAACTCACCCACCAAAATTATGAGCTCATCTTCAGTTTTCACTGAGCAGCTTCAACGGCGGGACCATAGCAGCCAGGGCCTGGCTCCTGTGACACCCCAGGGTGACCAGTTGAGCAATCTGGATATCCATAAATCCATGGGTCCAGATGGGATGCACCCGCGGGTGCTGAGGGAACTGGCTGAGGTCATTGCTAGACCACTCTCCATCATCTTTACCAAGTCTTGGGAAACGGGAGAGGTGCCTGAGGACTGGAGGAAAGCAAATGTCACTCCTGTCTTCAAAAAGGGCAAGAAGGAGGACCCGGGTAACTATAGACCGGTTAGCCTCACCTCCGTTCCTGGGAAAGTGATGGAACACCTTATACTTGGTGCCATCTTAAGGCATATCAAGGATAAGAGGGTTATGAGGGGCAGTCAACATGGCTTCACCAAGGGGAAGTCGTGCTTGACCAATCTTGTAGCCTTTTATGAGGAAATAACACGGTGGATGGATGATGGCAGAGCGGTGGATGTGGTCTACCTCGACTTCAGCAAAGCGTTTGACACAGTCTCCCACAGCATCCTTGCGGCTAAATTGAGGAAGTGTGGTCTGGATGATCGGGTAGTGAGGTGGACTGTGAACTGGCTGAAGGAGAGAAGCCAGAGAGTTGTAGTCTATGGGGCGGAGTCTAGTTGGAGGCCTGTATCTAGTGGAGTGCCTCAAGGGTCGGTACTGGGACCAGTATTATTTAATATATTCATTAACGATTTAGATGAGGGAATTGAGTGTACTATCAGCAAGTTTGCTGATGACACTAAGCTGGGAGGGGTGGCTGACACGCCAGAAGGCTGTGCTGCCATCCAGAGGGACCTGGACAGGCTGGAGAGCTGGGCGGGGAATAACTTGATGAAATATAACAAGGGAAAGTGTAGAGTCCTGCATCTGGGCAGGAACAACCCCAGGTTCCAGTATAGGCTGGGGAACGACCTGTTAGAGAGCAGTGTAGGGGAGAGGGACCTGGGGGTCCTGGTGGACGACAGGGTGACCATGAGCCGACACTGTGCCCTTGTGGCCAAGAAGGCCAATGGCATCCTGGGGTGTATTAGAAGGGGGGTGGTTAGTAGGTCGAGAGAGGTCCTCCTTCCCCTCTACTCTGCCCTGGTGAGACCTCATCTGGAATATTGTGTCCAGTTCTGGGGCCCTCAGTTTAAAAAGGACAGGGACCTGCTGGAGAGAGTCCAGCGCAGGGCAACGAAGATGATTAAGGGAGTGGAGCATCTCCCTTATGAGGAAAGACTGAGGGAGCTGGGTCTCTACAGTTTGGAGAAGAGGAGATTGAGGGGTGACCTTATTAGTGTATATAAATATATAAAGGGGGAGTGTCACGAGGATGGAGCCAGGCTCTTCTCAGTGGCAAACAATGAAAGGACAAGGGGTAATGGATACAAATTGGAGCACAAGAGGTTCCACTTAAACCTGAGAAGAAACTTCTTCTCAGTGAGGGTGACGGAACACTGGAACAGGCTGCCCAGGGGGGTTGTGGAATCTCCTTCTTTGGAGACATTCAAGACCCGCCTGGACACGTTCCTGTGTAACCTTATCTAGGTGTTCCTGCTCCGGCAGGGGGATTGGACTAGATGATCTTTTGAGGTCCCTTCCAATCTCTAACCTACTGTGATACTGTGATACTGTGATACTGTGACCCAGCCCTGCAGAGATGGCGATGTGGTACCCATGCCCCACATCAAGTCTTTTCATCCTCAGCGCTCCATTGTTCCACGCTCCATCCCCTGGAGATTGTCCCTCCTTCCTGGAGCACCAGGAGAAGGGACCCCAAGTGCCAAGATTGCCACCCTCCCAAAGCTAAGATCCTCCAGGCCTGGCTGAGGTGGCATCACCCCGCACAAGAGCCCAGTGCAGA